GAGTGAAAGCAAAGGATGGTTTGACAAAGGTAAAGCACTCTGAAGAGAGCATAATTTCTTCTCTCTAACGCCATTTGGTGGATATACATAGTGAAGGGGCTTCAGCACCTGTGCAATACAAGTTTAAATTTGTTCTCTGTGATCAACAAGGCCAAGAAAAAAAAAAGCCCCTCTGTTCCCAGGGCCTGGAGTAAGAGCGTTGCATTAAGAAGATATTCATTCACATCTGAAAGGAATTGCCATTCAGCCCAACTGAATCAGTGCAATAAAAGGAAATGTCAATTAAGTTAGGAGATTAATGAGGGGAAAAGCCCAAATACTGTATTGTGAGAGCATTACATGGTGGGATAGGCTTGAGAGGGCGCTGATGGCAAGGGACAGGTTAACCATGGGGAGGCTGTCCTTACTTGAACACCTTTAATAGCTATTTTTGAGCATTAAACCACCTGTGCCTGATGGGCTGCGAGGGCTTTGTGCAGCGTGTGCAGGGAACGCGGCCCCATGGCAGTTCCCAACCCCTCCTCGCTTTGCGTTTGGAGCAGCGCAGGGTCAGCCTTATCCAACTTTGCTATTTAACTACTTGCAGGCAACGGTCAGCACCTGCCCCCGGCCCCCCGGGCCAGCCCCAGCCTGCGCTGGCCAATGCAACAAGGCAGCTTTGAGCCAAAGCTGGGGCCGACCACCCCCCGGCTGCAGGCGCCGCTTGCGTAGGAAAAGCCCTGTTTAAACAATATTACCACTGCGATTTAACAAGAGGGCAAGAGCAATGATGAAAAAGGAGTAGTTTTTTGTTTAGCATTAAATACGCCTTAAAAATAGGTACAACCTCCTCCTCGAGCTGAATCTCACCGCCTGAACCAGCCTGTCCCCCGCGCTGGCAGGAGGGACGTCACCCAGAAACCTCCTCCTCCTCCTCCTCGCCCGCTCCGGTGATGCTCAGGGATGCTCTGCACAGACCTATCGTCCCCAACGGCACTTTTAACGTAGTTTTCCAGGGAGGCATGAGTTTTTCCTCTCCCTTTGCCCAGAAAAATGGTATTCTGGAGCCAGGCTGGATGATCATTTGGGTGACTGAGCCCCAGTGAGCCACTGCCCTTGCCGTCGGCCGAGGTGAGGGTCTCCAACCTATCCTGCTCAAGATCTGCCCAGTTTATAAAAGTTTCCTTTTTTATAAATATAATATTACCCAGTTCAATCAAAAAGTGATTTTACGTTGAAAACTCAACATAAAATACTTTTTTTTAGACTTTCTAATGTCTGAACTATTTAGTAAGTAATGCAAAACCAAAGTAAGAGTTTATCTTTTTTTTATTAAGACAATCCCACAGCTGGAAAATGAAACATCCTAAATTACATAAGTGACTTCAAAAAAACTCTAGAAAAAAATCTTTACAAATTTACATTTGTACAATACAAAAACTAACAGCTCATTGCATATAAATATTACATTTGGTCTGCCAACAAGTGGCATCAAAATCCCTGAAGTACTCATTTAAAGGGACCTGAGATAGCAGATGTGAAGATATGGGCATAAATATCACCTGAAAAAAAAAAAATCAATATAGAAAGTAGACATAATTCTAATAGTTTTGTGCATTTTTGGAGTATTTTAAATCATCCAGAACATGAACCGTAGAGCCTAAATGATGTGAATTTCCTCGCTCCAACACTGACTGGTATTTCTAAATGAACTCTGCTTTAATGACTCATGGAGGAATGAATAGCCTGTATTAGTATTTCTACAGAAAAATAATCATCACTTTGATTTCTGAATATATCCAAGCAGCCACCACTCTCTGAGGAGGAATTTTTAGCAAGAGAAATGGATGATCTTGATTTTCTCTGCCAAAGAGCAGTGCAGCCGCGAGGCACGCGGGAACACCAACCCCTCCTGCGAATGCTCAGGCCAGAGCTCGGCTCCCCGGCCTCTGGAGCAGCTCCTCTCGCCATCCTGCCTGCTTCTCACAGACCCAGAAATTGGGGAGATAATGCAGTGCTTGCCAATTAAAAAAAAACAAAAAAACAAAAAAAAAAAAACCAAACAACACCAATCCTGAGAAACTGCTCCTAATTATCCACCAGTTTAAATATTTTCCAAATAGTTACACATTTGTCAATTCCTAAATGCGGCTGCAGTTATCTCCCAGGAGTATTAAATTGCAAGTGCAGCACTAAGCTGCTCGGTTTTACTTTACATTCTCACAGACTCTTATCAGGTACCCACATCCATGCACATAAATGTATTTAAGCACCATTTTCATAATACTAGAGTTAAGGCTGTGACAGCAATTCCACTGGAAATCTAATTTTTCAGGGATTCATAGCACAGTTGTGTACGTTTGCTGTGGGCTGAACATGACATATCAAAAATGTACAAGCTTCCAACAGGTCTTTGCATTTCTAATACTAAAAAAGACAACTTTTAAGACTAAATTTTGCAGGCTGTTACTTACTGTACATAAAGGAGTTGTTTTTTTTCAATGTGTAAACCTCTGATATACTAATATTTGAAAATTATCTATCGCACATGCGCAGTAATTTTCTATAATACATACTTGTAAGAACACAATGACAGCTCCCTACAATACTAAATATAGATTTATCCTTGGATTGTTAACTGCTCCTTCAGTCTATCATATAAATAATTAGCATTTTATAAAACTTTGCATGATGGTTTAAAAAAAAAAAAAATTTAAAAATCAAGCAATGTGAACACACAAATACATTTTTAAAACATTGAATTCATGACACAGACCAACGATAGCAGGACACTCCAAGTCAGGGCTGACAAGACATCCTTAAACCTACAGCTGTTCAGTTTTCCCTGTCATTCACCGCTCAGATTAAAGATGAAATTTTAATCAAATTCTTAGCAAAAATTATTGATTAAAATTTATTTTCTCATGTTAATGCTGTGTGATTTTGAACGGTTGTCAAAAACATTCCAGAGACACCCAGGAGCAGCCTTTTCAAATACCTGACAAGGTACATTTTGCTTTCTGCTGTCAAGAGAGTCTCCAAACATTGTCAAAAGCAATACATTGCAGTTGGTCTTTCTATACTTTTTACATGACTTGAAAACTCTTTAATGTGCACCCGGTGTCAGTTCTTTTCAGTGCTCTAGGCGCTACAAGGTCTTTTCACTTTTGTGCAGGAGAAGCAGCCGAGATGTACATTTATGAAAACATTCAGGGAAAATTAAAAATATGCAACAGGATGCAAAATTTTAAGCAGCCAAAAATCCTCCACAAATTATTTCCTCATGATTCTATTTAGCTTGTTTATCTGCAGGGTGAGGTTGACTGGGATAAGGGGGGCAGCCTCTGCTTAGTTTATGGAGAAAGGACTAATAGAAAGATAGAGAGGAGTGATAAAACTGCCCAGACCCATCTAAGTTCAAGCAACAACATAAAAGTTTCATGGGATTTAAAACACAAATCTCTTGTGAGGCTGGAAGCATGTGACTTCTACAAGCGTTACCTTAACTGCAACTCACATAGCAAGGGGGAAAAAAAAAAAAAAAAAAAAAGTAATTCAGTACACACAGAGCCCACGTGTTAAGGGATACCAAGTGGAACCAAGTGTTCTTTTACGTAGCTGTGTGTAAGGCAGCGCAACGGGAGCTGTCCTGCTGCCGTGCCTCCCCGCAAGCGCCTGCCTCGGGGCTGCGCCGGCAGCACTCCCACTCGGGGCACGGGTGGGCACAGAGGTGCAGAGCAGCTGAGAAGCCAGCCCGCAAACTTTCCACCTTCATCAAATCCACCTCCAGCAATTTGGGAACGTTACTAGTAAACAAAGTAAGGCAGATATAAAACATATGGGAAGTGTTGGGGTAAAAAAGATGCATAGAAAGAATTAAATCTTACAGTCTAGACAAAATAAAATTCATGAAGTTATCATAAGTTTCCAAGAGAGTATCCTAAATAACCTACAGGGGCAATAAAGGGAAGCTAAAGGAAGAGAGATGGAGCATGGCAAAGAGCAAAACAAAACATGATAGAGAAAATAAAAACCAGGCAAAGTTTGGGCTGAACTGAAACAACAGCACCTCATTACTGCCAAATAAGCTTTGCCAACCATGCCCTGGTGCGGGAAGAAATGGGCGCGCTACAGAGAGAGCAGATCTGTGGCCAGGAGAGATCTGAGAAGAGACGCACACAAGACTTTCACCCCCATCTCCAGAGGACGGAGCACGTGGGGCTAATGCTCTGCTGAGTAAAGCCCCTTGGGGCACGAGCCCGGTTTTCCCAGGGGTCTCAGAATGCCCTCGAGTGCCCCGGCAACTCCGGAGAGGGATCATGCAAGATTGCACATCTAGAGAAAAACTGGAAGCACTGATGCATGAGAATTAATCCTACAGCAGCAGAGGAACGCCTGGCCTGACTGCATGCCTTGTTAGCCTTCAGGGATCTGATACGTAATCAGACCTTCAAATCTTTTTCTTCGGCAGAGTTTTGGAGTTGCTTGTTAAAAGTGCAAGGAGAGAGACTATGGTCCTGACTCTGCAACCCACTGGGCAGTGCAGCCTGCTAGGAGCTCAGCAACTTCAGGAGATGCTGGCTGAGCACCCAGGTTTTGGGTCAGGGAGCGAGATGGTACAAGGTTTAAATCATTTTACTGCTTCTGCTGCACCTGTTGGGTTGATACTAAGTTTTGAGAGTGTCCAAGTTACTACAAAATTATAATTATTCCACAGAACAAGGCTATGAGAAATCAATTGTCTAACTCAGAGAAAGAATCCAGATACAAAAGCAAGTAAAAATAACATCTCTAAAACCAAGTTATTTCTTTCATGCTTATAAAAGGTTCTCATGCACAAAAAAAAAAAGCTGGTTTTTTTTTTTTTGTTTGTTTGGTTTTTTACAATAAGCAATAGTTCTGTTGTTCTAGCACACCCTGCTGTCTAGCTGTTAATCATGTAACACATTTGATTAATACTTACGCCACAGCAAAGTGATGCTTCACTGTTATCTTCACAGTACTTCATTACATAGAAAAGATACATTTAAGAACATATTTAATATTATTCTAATTGCTGCTAAAATACACAAACTTATAAAATGATTTCTCCAGAATCCACGTTTTCTCTCTCCCCAACCCCTACACAAAATAAATAAGTAAGTGGATCTTCAGCCAGTCAGAAATATAGGAAAAACATTTCTTTTGCATTTCAAGATTTTCAGGCTTTAGAACAGAAACCATAGTGTTTACATTAGCTCAACAGGACTGATCTAGAAGGGGTATGATTCTGACTATGAACTGATGCATACATGCTATTTCTGGTTACCATATGTAGAAGGACCAGTCAAAGAAATAATACATTTCTTATAAATATATATGTGCGTATATATATACATATATATGAGAGAGATGATAGGACAGGTGTTTATATTTTAAAGCCCAATACAGAACTAGGAGAGCCTCTGCACCTTTTTTTTTTTCCCCACCAAAACACAACTGAATCAAGTCCAGAAATGGATTATGGCAGATTCAAAACATTCCTTAAAAAATTAAAAGTGTGATTTTTGTACTGTACCATAAACTCATATTAATGCTCTGAGCAATTTAGGATATACTCTCCTCCATCACAAAACTAAACCTCTGCATTTCTTCAAGTCATTTTGCATCTAACTAGAATTTTTGGAAAGCGAGATAAAATAGCTAGTGCTTAATATAGAAAGTCAAAAATTAAATTCCTTCTGCATCTGAGAATATACATGGGTCACTCTTTGCTGCCTGAGGTTTTCCAGAATTATTGACCAAGCTGTGCACAGAAGAACTTAAGGATATTGGATGAAAGTTTAAAAAAAAAAAAAAAAAAAAAAAAAAAAGTGTCTTGAAAAACTCCACCAAAAGTTTGTAGTCTCTTTTTTCATTTGTTCTCTCTGTGTAATCTAACGCACTCTCTTAACCAAGCTAGAGCTGTCAGGTTCGTTTAGGTAATGGGAGAAAATTGAAGTCACTACGAAGTCAGAGGCTGCTCGTCTCCAGCTCAGCCCACGCCAAACAACTGTTTCTGTTCACCGAGGAGCAAGACTACAAATGTTGTCCCATACTGTACTATTACTACCAAAACGATTTCTGTTTTCAAGTTAGCATTTCTCAGGATAACAAGAGCACAGTGCAACACAAATTCTCTTCTGGAAGCTTGAGATACAAGAGTCCGTCTGGAGGACGCGAGCGGGAGCTTGTCCGAACTGCCAGCCACCAGAGGTACCCGGGCTCTGCCCAGCTCCATCACCTTCGAGGGGCAAATGAAACCAAACACAGATTTGCACCAAGCAAGTGGCAGCAGAAATGTGTGGGAGACCGTCGGCCTATCTGCACAAACAAATCACCATCTGCTGAAAACATTATGCTTCTGAAAACTCTGATGATTACTTAATTTGTTTTCATTGTGTCGATATAATGAAGATACCATTACTCTACAACTTCACGAGCAATTCCATCCCTCTACTTTCCTTCTTGCCTCTTCTTCAACACATACTGAGTAATAGCATCTATTTTCTTTTAAGTTTCCAGTAGTTGTAAATAGAGGTAGCTGAGCTACTATTAAAAATCACGTTATGCTCTGAAGAGGAGGAACCTTTCAAATGTTGAAGTTACCCCTTAGCTGCACAATCTCTATTAATACTATAAAAATATGAGCGGACAAAAAGAAAATAGATGCAAGTAACTTTTGCATTTGGCACCTTTTGTCTAGATATTCATACTTCTCAAGTATTCTCTTTTTAATAAAGTTAATGCACACATAGGACACACCACATCAAAGGTTTGCTACATATTTACAAGGCACCAACCCTTTGTCACTTTTTACATGAATAAAGAACCGATAGAAAGCACATCAGGACCCCCATAACTGTAGTATAGACATACTTCAGTTCAGCACAATTCATGAACATTTGGCCTGGGAAGATTAAAATAATCCAGATCCTTCTTACAATATAGAAACTGTAAACATTTTATAGCTGCCTTTAGGATTGGTGTATTGTGCAAAAGTTATAATTATTACTGTGTATAAGGATTTATGGCAGAAACCACATAAAAACTCTGTAAGAAGGTGCTATTTCTATAATACAAAAACAAAACAAGGGAGAGAAGTCATAATCGTGACTCAAAATGTCATGTTCTTATTGAGAAGCTGGAAGCCTCATTAATGTGATGAACTTGTAGTGTGTGGGGGAGAATTTCTGTAATTTAAGGCCCAATGAATAAGGCTAGTTTTGACCAATGAAGTGTGGCGATCTGAAGTTTTAAAAGAAACGCAAACTGACATAATGGAAAAGCACCACTGTGAAACGTGAGTGGAGTCCCCGCACAACTTGCTTGGTAGATTTTCTGGTAAAATCCCTGCAGTAGAAGGCCATTGAAGTTCTTTTAAAATTGTTCCAAAGTTTTTCATCTGTCAATAATTCCATCCCATGAGATGGCTGACCCTGGCTTTTTCTGTCATTTTCCGCACCCTGCCTGACCTGGAAGTACCAAGGTTCAAAGGATCCTCGGTGTGCACAAAATTGTCATTATCAGAATCATCGTTGTACAAGACAGTTCTCCTGCCCTCATTCCTTGTTTTGATTCGAGGCGGTCTACTGAATCGCCCTCCGAACACATTTTCACCAAATTGTCCTCCAAACAGATTTTCAAATTCATCATCTGTAATTCGGGCACGTTTTGCTCTGGTGGCTCCTCGTGAGGCTCCTCTGCCTCCTCGGCCTCTTCTTCCTCCCCTGCCGCCACCTCTTCCTCTGCCACAGCCTCTTCCACCTCTACCACCTCTTCCCCCTCTACTCCATCTCCCCCACCTCCCCCATCTACCTCTCCTCCCTGTCCCTCTGCCCTGCCAATTCCGTTTCCCACCGGTGATTTTTCTTTTGATTTTTCTTTTGGGTTTTTTGGATTGCACAACTTTGCTGTAGTCATGGTCTCCATCAATGTAATCCTGGTCTGTTCTAGATGTTGATTCAGAATCTGAATCAGAACCACTTCTGCTTTCAGAACTTGAACTGGATCCCGACTCCCCACTTTCTGATGAAGATAAACCAGATTTTTCCTTTAATTCTCTCTTCTTCTTTTCCTCTTCCTCCACCTCCTCCAGATGCTCATCTTCTGATGCACTTATTAACTTCCTCTTGACTCCTGTCCGAGGTTCTCTGCCATCACCATTTGTGAGTGGTCCATCAGGAGAGTGATCTGAGCAAACACAAAATAACCCTGTCGGTTATCATCATCACGCCTGAGCCAAGTAGGATACAAAAAGTGGGATTCGCCTCATCTGCCTTTGAGGTACGCTCTGGAGATGATCCAGCTCTGAGTTACTCACCACAGATGACCTTTATGTGCTGTGGAAACAAACAGGTACCCTAGGGGGAAAATTTATCAAAGTAAACACAGTTCATCTTATCAGGAAGCAAGGACTGCAGACTCTCTCGATGAAGAGTTCAGTGAAGATCCAGTCAATAAAAGGAGCCCAGAGTGACTAGGTTAGAGACAAACATCTAACATTTTGTCAGATGAAACTTACTTAGGATGCCAAGGCAGAAAAAAGTCTAATATCCATTTCAAACATACATACGTTAAAATAACACTCTGCAAACAGTATTTATTCCCCATCAAATGCATTCTCAAAAGGCTCAGCCCAGGGAACGCTTGTGGCAAGCACAATTTCAAGACAGTAAATAACCCAAGAAAGCTCACTAGGATTGCTGAACACCCTAACTTAAAAATATCTAAAGTATCTGGCTGGGTTGGGGCCCAAAATACTACATGTTTTCAGAGTTAGGGATCTGACAATGAAGATTAAGTATCTTCTTTAACATGGGATACGAAAAGCTCACCTGCACTGCCTCAGCACAGTAGTATGGCCTTGACAAAGGCTTCAGGGATTCAGCCAATGCTCATTCAATGCCTACCTCAGTGGAAAGTCTGAGTAACATGTCCCAGAGAAAAAATACCAGTTTTCAAACAGTGTTTCCCTTCTAATCACAACTACTTAGACTTGATTATGATAAAAATATTTAATTTTTTAAAATTTTTTTTTCATCTTTGCTTTCACCTTGATTAATAACAGGACAGGGTTCCAGAGGGGTGATTCTTGTGATTTGGTTTGCTTTTTGTAATTCCTGAAGGAATTGTAGTCCTCAAGAATTTATTGTGCAATCAAGATTTTCCATCTGGAGAAATTTCAAAGGACCTCATTGAAGTGCATGTGGCATCCTGTGCATGCCACACTTCAGACAAGAGATCATAGAACCGCAAGAAGTAAAGTAAATTCAATTCTTTAGTATGGCTTGGGACTATAGCATAACGTTAGACTTGGGCAAGGATATCGTAAGTATCAGACAGAAGCAACATCTTTCATTTCTAGTGAAACCAGTCATTCAAAGAACAGAATACTTATTATTTCTCACCTTGTTTCACTGGTGTAGATTTACTCCTGATTGGTCTACTTTTCCCTGGATCAATGGTATTTCCACTTCGGTTCTGTGCATTTGAGCCTGAGGAAGATGGCTGACCTTCCATCTCTTCACCAGTAGCTGAACCCAGAGGTTCTTCTGCTGTATCTGAAACTTTAAACAGGACACCACCAATGTGACAGAGTAATTTTTATCCTCTACTTACAGGGTTGTAATGCAAGGCATTCTGGGGAGGTTTTGTATCACCTGAGTTAACAGCCCAAGTCAGGAGGTTAATCTCACCAAGCTGCCTCTGCAGTCATGAAGAGACAGATTCCTCCGGGGTGTAATCCAAATTACACTTAATGTATTCGGAATTGCTGTATGAGAGAAGCCCATACACAGGAAGTCCAGGCTCTTGTCAATAGATTAATTCTTACCAAGGACAGCCCCAGGTTCCCTGTTCTCTGACCCTTACCAATAACTTATCAAAAGCTGGAGGGCCAAGTTCAGCTAACACAATCTTCAGACAACATATTTCCATGACCTTGCTACTTGCTTTTTCAACAGGTGGGTTTTGCATGTGTCTCACTCATGTAAGATTTAATCTACACATACAGGTTGCTGCACGAGAAAGGACGCATTTTAGAAAATTTGTCCTTACCATGAGATGAAACTGAAGAACTAGTCCTAGTCAAAGGCAGTGAGGTATTCTGGTTGGGTTTAGGTTGAATCTTCATTTGCTTCTGTTTCCCTTTTGGGCTGAAGACACAAAATATCCCAAAGACATAAAACTGTTAGTACCAGAAGACTCAAACACAAAATCAACTTCCCCTGCAAAGTGCCTTGTCTTTTGCAGCAAATGCATAACACAAGTGATCTCTATTTCCCAGTGCTTGCACAGGTGTAACAACACTAAAAATAGTTACAATATCATTCTGTTTGCTAAAGGCATATGAGTTTGAAAGAACAAGATTTTATCTCACCTTTTAAAACAAATACTCGGTTTACTTAGATAATGTATCATACAGAAGTCAGAAAAGTGTTATACAACACTTTTTTCAACAGTTACTAAACAAAGACAGAAAGAAACTTTGTCTTTCCTTTCCTCCAGATGGAATACTTCTAATCATATAGTCCTTCACTTACCAGAATCATGCACAAACTACAAATTGCTCATGGAATTTGATTTTATCACCCAAAAGAGCAACTGCATCAGGAAATGAGCAATGCTGTTACTGACTGAATACTCACGAAAGCATGTCTACCACTGTTATCCCAAATGACACTGACAGCAAGTCTCACTATCACTGTGTTACCTAGATGCTCTGCTAGTTGAGGGTGAACTGCTACTGCTTCTTAGCCGTTTTCGGTACCGTGGCCTTCTCCTCTTCTGACATTGCATTGCTGACTTGTACTCGGAGATTATATTTTTCATATGATTTTCAAATAAGGCAGATAATCGAAGTGTCATGCTGTAAATCTGGAGTGAGAAAGCATCATCATACTTATTAGAAACTCAATAACTGAAGTGTTTTCATAAAAGGATTTAATTACTTACAGTACAAAATATGTACAGAGTGAAATGAAAATGGATATCTAGATTAGTGAAATATAAACTCCTTTTTTAATCTCCATAAAGCATGGAAGCACACCATAAGATTACTTGAAGTACCAAGGGAAAAACAACTGAACTTCACTGCCTCCTCACCTTTGATTTTTGCTTTAATTCCATAGTGATAAGTCCCTACACCATCCCTCCAGAGCTGCACAGAGAAGTCAACTAAAATGTCTTCATTCCTAATTTCTGCAAATCAGATGTCAAAATCCTTAAACTATTTTCATGTCCTCTTTCTAGGCCTTGCCTCTGTGTAGCCTCATCCCCAAATTCACTCATGGCTATTGCTCCATATTTCAGACTGTATTGACTTCTGTTCAAGATTTTACCTTCAATGTGTTTGTATTATGTCAAATTAATAGTTCAAACTCAGCATAAATAAAACAAAGTTCTTGACTCCTTCCTTATACCCTTCTACTGCATCTAGTCTTCTGAAAATTGTCTAAAAACAATCAAGATTTTATCATCATCTTATACTCAGATCTCTTCCCATTTATTGCATTCTGAATATAAAATCTCTTCGATATAGAGCTATCTTCACATTCACAGAACGTAACTTTTTCCCAGACCATTGTATTTTAGCAATATCTCTTTCTTTAGATCTGGTATGTAGTACCCTGCCCTCCTTGCCTCCATTCAGAATGTTGTTGTAAGGATGGCAAAATGAGCTAGAAAACCTCAGGCTGTTAGCACACATTTGGCAGCAGACAAACCTGCAGTGGCAGAAGGCCCAGCTGCGTGCCCCAGCCCTCCAGCAAGGATCACCTCACTGAGGCACTTCACAGTATTTAAGCAAATGGATATTGATGGGCCACTCTATTCAAGTAATTTGGGAGTTGACTCACAAGCTGTTCTGTTATTAATACACAGGGAAGTTCCCAGGGAGTGTGCAGCAGTAAATAACTCACCAAGATTACTCTGATGTCAAGCACACATAAAACACCCTCAAAATCACTTGTCGTCTTGCAATCCTCTACTGACTTCCCTTCTATTAAAGTGAGCAAAAATTACTGCTCTTTACCTCAGAGCTTACCTGCAGCCCACCTTTCAGCCCTTACTCAACACCAAGAGTTCAATCTACCTTCAGTGACAGCAACTTTGTGCTTTCTCTCACGCTTGCTAACACTTGGCTGGAGTTTCCCTCTCCCACAGCATCATCCTACTCCAAGCTTACACTCATCGTCCTGCTTACACAAAACACAGTAGTTGTTATTCCACTGATGAGCTAAGACTATTTATTAATCCTGAAGTGATGAGTAAGGTTGTACAACCTCCTGCTTCCTCCCATTTTCCTCCCACTGATCCTTCTCCTGCTTCACAGCGCCTAGTGTAACAAAACCTTGTGTTACACAATGTTAGGTGCCACATGAAAATTTTACAGTAATATTAAATTCTATGTATTATCCTGCTTTAAGTAATAGTATGTCCGTCTAGTCCCAAATGGCATGTCTTTCTTAATTGTTTATAAATGACCCTGTTTCTACACAAGAAATATTAGGCAACTTTGTGACCAGCACTCTTATCTATGCTAAATGATGTGTTTAAGAGATGTGATTTTGTCACAACTTAAGCATCTTATTGAATACACAGCTTTTCCTTATAATAAGGTCATTACAATTTAATGTCTGGAAATATGGTCAAAATTGTGTCTACTGTTATATTATGAAGACAACAACCACTCAAATTCTATTTTGCATCAACAATGGTAAAAAGTGCACCCGTGTCCTCGTGACAATTTGTGGTTTTCTCAGCATAAACAGTACATCACTAAAACATTTGAAAATTTTAGAATTGTTTGGTCATTTAGCAGCTTAGGAAAAGCTGACAGGCAATGGACTGCACAGGAACACATATTGAACATAGCCATATCTATATGGTCAATCATACACTTCGTAGCCATTTTACCTAACTCATATAAAAATACCTATATTCTAACATTCCAATCTCCCCTCACCCCCTTGCCATATTCTGTTTAGGGCTCCAATCCAATCCATTTTTTCTGCCTAAATAGATTGCTATTTCTGCACACAGAAAAAAGCAAGATTACCACCCGAGAAATGCTGGCGACACTGTGTGAAAGTCTTGCCAAGTATACTAAGTAAACTAGAAAAAAAAAAAATAGGTATCATAATGCTCTCATCTCCTCCAGTAGTAGAAATATTGCATAATACTTGCATTAGATTTTTAAAAGAACCTTTCATGTATATATACATATATATATGCAGTTACCAAGCTGATAGCCTTGTTTCCAGGAATAAATTACTGAAAAAGTAAAAGCAACTGGTGATCACTTTTCTGCTACAAACATTCAAAGAAATAGTTGCAAAAGTAACCATAAAATTTCTCATAAGCTTTAAGTTCAGAAAGTTCAGATGAAAATGAAATTCAGAAGTGATCTGCATGAGCAGAACAAATCAAGTTTATAACCATAAATACTAGAATTGACATGTACTACTTATTTTTAGCTCACAGCGCAGTGCTTTGCTCTTCAGATACAGACCTTATTTCATGCATTGTATTCATGGAGGGCCAGGGTCTTTGTAAAGAAGGCATTAAAATTTATTACTTACTCGAGACTTTTTATTAGGAGTGTAAGCTTTAGAGTTGCAGAATATTAAACGAATATCTTTGTAGAATTCCAAGGGACTGGTATAGTTTCCTGCTTCCAAGGTTTCTTTCACAGTGCTGAAGTCCATAGGAGTGTCTACAATATCTCGATAATCCTGTAAGAATACACAAGAAAATAATAAAGGCTGTCAAATCCTACAGCAATAAAAACATGTAAGTGTTCATCCACAACAGTGGCTCTCAAGCAATTATTTCCACTTGAGAGTTACTGCAGATAATTCCCTGAAAATATCAGTGCACAGAACATGGTGTGTTCCAGCTCATAAAGGAAGGGGTTAGTAAAATGCCTGGAATGGATGTTTTGCCAAAGGATGAGCAACAGGCTTGTTAAATTTTGAATACGGAAGTTGTACTTACAGGATAGGAGAAGAGATCAACTGGCTGTCTAAAAGGTTCAGAGTCCTCTCTTTCATAAATCAGGTTTAATAACTGATTGCATTGCTCTTTCCAAGCATCAGGACTTGCTTTCATGGGCTGTCTTTTTATTCGTCTTCTTACCTGCAGGGAAACAGATGTATGCATTTCATAATTTTCCAGAATAATCAAATTTTCCACTTTAAGTTCCTATTAATTTACCAGAGTTCTGACTCAAAGCAGATTTCCACAGTTAAAAACAGAATTGCAGTAAGATTAAAGCATAGTTGATGGCACAACAATATGCAGTCTGCAAACTGCAGAAATATGCCTTTTCTGGTAATATATAGACACTCAAATTCATGAGAGGTATGCAATATTTCAGATCCAGCCTTGCTATTTTTATCTTCTTTCATCCAAATTTGATTGAAAACTGATTCTGTTCTAGCTATCTTTCAAATCAAATTAAAAAAGACGATTGTTCAGCAATTAAGTACTTTTTCCTGCTCAATAACTTCCTCAGTCTGGCAACACTTATACACACATGCAACTGAATTCACAGAGTTAGTCCGACAGACTATCGGCCACGACAAATTTAAACCATTACAGACCTAAACAAGTGTTTCAGTACCTGGTCTACCTCCCTTCACAAGCTAGACCAAACAGAAACGTTTACTCACTCGTCTTTTTCCAGAGGAAGTTCCTGGAGCATCTGAATCTACATCTACTTCTGCCACCTAAAGGCAAAGGTAACGGTTACATACGTGCCTGCTTGTATGCACCCATGGCAATGAAAAAGGGTTAAAAACCAGCCAGCCAACAACAACAAACACAATTTTAAACTATGCAAATGCAATGAACGGTTCAAGCAAAACAGAAACTTGTTTCAAACTACAATTTACATAGTTAAAAATAAAAAAAAATAATAGGTGAATATGCCGTTTCATCTCTTCTCCAAGTTTACTTACATAAAAATTATATATAAACATGTGAGAAATATGAATGGCTTATTTACAGTCCTTAAGACTCAGTTAAGTCCAGTCTTGGAGAGCTGTATTCCCCTGTCTAAATGTTCATGCTCTGAGCAGCTTTATCTAGTTTATTCAGGTTTCATGTAGTACCTCACACCAAGTACATGTAATATTCTTTTGAGAATCCGGATTGAGAAATTACAACAAAAACTCATGTGGACACAGCTTTCTATCAGTAATTAATAAGAAATAATTTTGAGAGGATGGGAAAGTTCATACAAAGAATCTAAAAGTAATTTCTTTCTTATTTTAAAACATATTATAAACCAAAACATTATAAACCAGCCCTTTGAAAGGCTGCAGAGAAAGGAACATGATAGAGTAGAAATTCTGGACACTTCTAAGCACTGCTTGACATGGAATGGATGAGATTCACAACTGACACAAGAAGGTTGAGTTGGGAAAGGAGGGTCTGTTATTTAAGTCATGGAAATCCCTCATTTTCTTCAAAATCATCTGTGAAAATAGATGCTGTTATTATATCTCCAGTTTTATAAAAGTAAATTATTACACTGTAGTATAGATTTGAAGCTTCAATACAAATCCAAGACAATAGCACCAGCCATAAGTATACAGGTACTCAAGCAGCATCAGGGTTAACTTAAATATTTCAAAACTGCAACAATGGAGCGTGTCTTGGGGAAGGGAGGAGGGAAGAAACCTCCTAACTAAATCTTAAATTAGCACATGTATTAGAAAGCAACACTGAAAAAGTGAAACAGAACTACGTGACTTAGGTTATAACAGGTCACTTTGCAACAGAAACTATAGCACAATTCTAAGTGTTTACAAACTGCATTGAAAGAGAGAAGGTGTAAGAGAGAAGGTGTAAGGAGAAAGAAGAAGTTAAAGGAAGTAATACCTAACCCAGTTTCTACCTGTCATTTCACTCCACAGTTCAACTGACGGAAAATGACAGAGTTATGTAAGAAAACCAGCTCTGCTGCCTCACTGACAATAGGAGAGCTGTTGTCCTGGTTAGACAGACTGAATAATAGCTCCAGTTCATATTTCCTCTACTTACTAATACTCCCTCACACAACAAAGCATCACGTACTGAGAGATTAAAGATAGGCAGTTCCAAGAATAATTTTTACTTACTTAAGGGAACTTACTGCCCCAGGTGAGCAACACAAATGGGCTAAATAAGCTCATCTCAAAAACTCAGTGTAAGTACCCATAAAATAAAACCAAAAATCTTTGCTCAAATTTCTTCCACGTGCTGAGTTGAAAAAGGCAAGAAGTTCTGACAATCAGACTTAATGGTCTTACCTCCTCTTCTTCATCAGTACTGCTTAGGTCTTCTGCTTTTACCTTGTTATATATTTCTAATATATCAGTACAACTCTGATCCCTGCAGGACAATAACAAAAGCCAAAATGCATAATCAAATACCTCAGAAACTCAAGATGTCAGGTCTATCAAGTAAAAAACATGCCTACCCAATGAAGCGAAGTAAGACATCTGTTACAATTTTGGCTGCTTTGACTATAGGACTGTCTGGCTCGTTGAAAGTCCTGGCATTATGTTCAATGTATCGCACCTCCCACATCAGTGCAGAGATTCTCCTAAAAAAAAAAAAAAAACAAAAAACACCCAGGATGGAGAAGGTGTACATTATTCTCCTTTTGTGTTCAATAGGATTCCTCAGTAAAAAAAGGAATCAGGTAATTCAGATCCAGGAGAAAGAGGTTGCTACAGACCAAGGTAAGTGGTTTCTGTTCCCCTGTTCCCATACTGCTGACTACCCCAATGTGTCAAGCTGTGACAGCTTTGTGGAAAAAACATGTCCCTCTTCAAACCAGCAATGAAGGGAACGAATAGAGGAAACAAATCTACCGAAGACTGCTGACTGCTCCCACTTAGAGAAAGCCTTATAGATAAAGTGGTCCTCAGGCAGAATAAAACAGAGCAGGACATTATCTATCTTCAAGTTAACTGGAAAAACTGAGATTTCTAGTTTATAGCACTATTTAGCCCACTTCTGGCAACTGCAATACAAGCAAAGCATCGGGTTCAAGGGCAGTGGAGATACAGATGAAGCAAACATGCTCTGCCTACAACACATCCAGAGAGTAAGGCTGAGTGTGTTAAACAAAAAGGACACTCCAGATCCAGATCTACTAGCTTTTGCCTTAACAGTGTGGCCAAGTGAAACTATTATTGAGGAAGACTCACTTCGCCCAAGGCCAAATAGAATCTGATGTTATGCTGTTGGCTCATCAAAGAAATATTTTGCTGAAGTGGCAATACATGGTATTCACCTAAATATACTGTCCTTGATGGGGCTATAGTAAATGTAGATTACAAACAAATAAATATCCAACTGACCTATAAAACCTGTTTTCAAGTCTCCTCCTGATCGTGGTGAGGTCAGTTGGATAAGCAACAACAGTGCAATACATGGGATAGGCACTAAGGTCCACCGGAACAGCAAAGGGATTAGAAATATCTGAAAGACAAAAGATGAAAATTAATTAGATGCCTCAGAAGGTACCAGAAGGGAAGTTATAAGATAACTAGATTCCTTATAATGGTTTCTGCATTTTCTTTCTAAGAATTCAGCAAAAGCAATACAGATATACAGCTGTATATGCCATTACCCAAAGGGTAGGATTCTTCCTCTCGTACCATCTGTTAAATACTCTTGAAAAAATATTTTTTGTTTAAGTATCACATCTGAGATTTGCATGCCAGCAGCCAACTGTATTGCTAAAAAGCAACGTGGCATATGCACTTACAACAGGAATACTACAACAAGCAACATAAACTAAGAATATAGACATGTCCTGTGTATAAATATAGGACAGACTTTAAATCACAGTGTGCTATAGCTATACTAAAAACTAGTTACAGGGTATTTGCCAGTGAGGATGTTTAGTGAAGATTTGTTGGTTGTTTTTTGAGAGGTTTAATTCAATGTTTTGCTCATTCATATTCAGATATGATGCACTGAGAATCCCCATTAACTTGAAAGGAAGCAGATCAAGCCCCAGAAAAAAAGGGAATAAAACTGAAAAGGACACCATATGAAATTTAAAAGACTTTTTTCAATTATTTAGTTAAGCACATTTCAAACATTCCACACCAACTCCCAACACTCCATCCTATCTACTCTTCAGTCATGTGACACCAAACTGACATTCTTAATCCTTTCACCTTTTCTCTCCAAACATACCAAGGGAAAGAAGCTGCTCGATCCCCCGGATTACTCGTTCACATTCTTCATCTCTGGAATGGGCCCCCCATTCTCCTTCCTGGGGTTTGTAAAGAAGAGCTGTCAGCTCATCTGGAGTCACAGGAACTCCAGCACCGACCTCCTCTGGATAAGCAGCTAAATATGAAGGATTCAACAACAGTAAGTACTATCAGTGGCAAAAAATTATTTACCTTGCATACGGACATGAATTCAACACACTTACTTCCTTCTGGAATTGGTTCCATGTCCCATGGACTCATCCTCTCTCTTTCATTATTGTCCCAGCTATTAAAAAAAAATACATTCAAATTCATAAGTTAGAGCTGAACATAACGATACATCTTTTCTCTACCAGACTTAAAACAAAAAGGTTATGCCTATTAGAAACAAGACATGTCACTAGCTACACTTCAACTCCTTATTTTTCTCTTGTATCTCCTATATATTCACTGCACTGCTGTTTACACCAAAAGTGTTGTTTTATGAGTAAGTTCATAACTAAATAAACAAAACCAAAGTGGCTGATTTTTTATTTAAATGGGAAAAAAGGATCCTAGCTCTTGAGGTACGTATTAAAGCTGCATGTAAACATCTAGGAGACCCAGAGCATGAAAACATGTGTGACACATTATAGCTATGTAAATACTTACTGAACACAGTAGCACTGGAAGGAGCTATCGGGATATTCTGCCTGAAAAGGCTGCTGACTCTCCACAGTTCCAAACCACCAAGCGTCATCTATTATACTGCGAAATCTATCCCCTATGAGGAAAAAGGATTGCATTCAGCAAAAGAAAAACATAACTGTTAAATATTTCTTGAGAATCAACTTCATTTTTCATAAATGCACTACTTCAATTCTTACATTTTGCACTACAGGAATTAAGTCCTTCCCCTAAAGAAAGGACTTTCACATCTCTAGTTATTAAGTCACAGCCACCTCCATGCCTCAAATCTCAATATAACAGTAGATTGTTCTGCTAACACAGGCCTCATAACAGTTTATTTCACTTCCCTTTTTTTTCTGCTATAGGAATTGCAGCAAACATCAAATAAAGTTTCCAATGATCTCTATAATATCATGTGTGGCATATTCCTTTACATCATGTAACAGAGCCACTGTATCCTATTAAACAGCTGCAGAAATTTTGCAAAACATATGGAAGTGGTAAAAAAGTAGTCACCTATTTGCCAGTTCCTTTCTTTGGCTTCATTATAAAACTGATGCAGCACAAGGAAGTCAATAACATCTGGCATATCATGGTACCTTAATGAAATAGAAAAAAAGAAAAAAAATTGCTTCCATTACCCATAGTTCCACATGTACAATACAGACAGTCTCCAAACACAAAATTTCATGCATTTTGTTTTCAAGTTTGGAGTAGTAGCTAATTAATGCCACCATCATGACTTGCCAAAAAAAAAAAAAAAAAAAAAAACAAACAGAAAGGAAGGAGAGGGAAGCTTCCAAACTGCAAGAAAAACTCTTCAAGAATGTCATCAGCATTTCAGTTACTTACTTTATGGAAAATGATTCTCCTGTCATTTTGCCTGTGATTGGATCTAGGAATGCAAGCTTCAAGCAGCAGAGTGTAGGAGGCCCAACTTCATATTTAATTCCTACAGTCTTCACAAATTCTTGTTCCTATTTATCAATAACCATGCAACAGTATTATTTTAACTTGCTAACAATAAAAACAACTATGTTAAAATACCAAACATAATAATAAAAATCAAATATGTTTTCACTCTACAGCCCAGGTAGTTTCACCCATAAAAGTTTTCTTTTTCAAATACTAAAAATCAATCACAGTCACCTTAAAAAGAAAAATGAGAAAGACAAAATCCTCATTCCCTTGGTAGATTTGTGAACAGGACACCCACAAATTATTTAATTTTTGTAATACATTTATAAGGAACATTCTCACTCTGGTTTTAACCACACTGATGGCACCAAAAGTTATATCTGACCAAAGCCAGGGCCTCTCACCCTTGCATAAAGGGGAAATAAAAGGAAATTCTTCCTCTTAAAGTGGAAATTCAAAAATAGCTTTTTATGTTCACATCCTGTCAAAGATCCGCTGGTGGTAAGATCTCTATCCTAAATGAAACACTATTTCCTTGTCCTTATACACTGACGGTGTCTTTGAAGATTGCAGTTGGAATCACTGAATACCTAGGACTAGTAACCCGATATTTTTCCAGTAAAGCAATTACTTTCATTAATAGAACCACTGACATACACATACATTAATATTAGCACATATACATGCTCTTCTCTTGATATGAAATCTGAGTAAAGCAGAAAAAAAATATGGCAACACTGCATATTAAGTATTAAGGGACTCAGTGGTTCAAAGCAAAAGGATAAGAAAAATCAGCATAACTATGTAAACCTAGTATCTACCCAAGCAATCCATAATACTTTTATTTTGTAAAAATATGTTGTAAGATATTGTATTGACCCTCCAAGAATTTAAGAACGTACACAATTACATGCTTAGCTAGATCAACTGTTTAACAGAGCTTGCACGTATTGAGGTCTTTACATCATGATGTCCTACTTCTTACCACAGCATTAAAAACAATAAACAGAACCTAGATGGTCAGGTCATTGCAGAGTGTTGATAGAACTATAAACAGCTTTTGAGTGGTGGGTTCTAAATTAATTAGTATTAAGGAGGAAAAAAAAAAAACAAACAAAACATTGTAGAATAATTTGGGTTGAAAGTGACCCCTGAGAATCAGACGGTCCAAAATCCTGCTTATGGCAGAGCTAACATATAAGTTTCATCAAGTCACTCAGAGCTTGCCCAGTTGATCTTTGAGAATTCTTCAAAGATGGAGATTCCATGCTCTCTCTGGGCAACCTGTTCCACTACTTAACTACTCTCACTCTAAATTTTTTTTTTATTTATTTAATATTCTGCTTTTCTGTATTATATCAGGCAAGAATAAACTTTCACATTCTTTAACATCCTTCTGGCTTCATATTATCAGGAACTGAACAGATGTAAAGGCTTTGTGTTAATGAAAACAGTAATTTTAAGATTTACTATTTTAATTTTCATATTAACATTTTAAAGTAATGCTTTCTTTATCTTTTATACTTTTTTAAAATGTCAATTTAACATTACAGAGATATTCAGCTCTTTGAAGTATTTGTTTAACTTACCCTGAGTTCCATTTTGTTCCATGGTTGTTTTTGCATGTTAATGGTGTAAATTTTTGCTTTCCTTACTGCCCGCACATAAGCTTCATGGCCTTGCCTAAAGTATATGATCTCAAATGAAAAGAAAAAAAAAATTTACCAATAGTAAAATAATCTCTTAAAAAAAAAATCTCTGTTTATTCTAAAATTTCTAGGAACACATCAGGCATCATCCCTTTCAGAACATACTGCATGCTTCTTTATTTCATTATAAATATTTTTAAGGAGAAGAGTGCTTTATATCAGCCCCCAAAGTGACATCTGCTATACACTTTCAAATTTGGCATCACTAAGAAGTGTGCAGGTTTGTCTGAAGAAACACAACCAATTCTTTCTGCTACTCATAAACTACATGTGCATGAAAAGAGACATAGAACAGCTATTTGGAAATAACTGATTGCCTGAGAATAAAAATGTTATCAAAACTCAGCCTATCTTGAGCACAACTCACTGAAAATATTGCTAGATAAAAGTCCTGACGAAAACAAGCTCATCAACCCAGGTGGGAATTTCAGAATTGCTACACTCATTACCTCATCTCCCATCTGTGGAACAAAAGGTGAGCGGCGTGGTATAGTATCCAAGATCCACTGAGGGGCAAGCCATTCTTCGCTGGGTTCACCTTCCATCGAAAGCAGTCCACTTGGTTTCTTAAATATATTACATTAAATTTAGAATGCAAGCTGTAATTACTGTGGCAGAACATATGAAAAACTGATCATACAGCACTTACTGAAGATAACTAGATATAAGGGCAAAGCAAATGCTGGAATGTCAACCTTCCAAAAAAACCTCAACTAGAGAGTAAGGAATAAGACATGTTCATTTTAAATATAATAGAAGATTAAAACATTCATAAATAAACATATTTCTTCAGAAAGATTCTAAACGTCTTCTTTAAAAAATAATAGGAAAAATAATCTGACAATGTAGATACAATACAGATGTGCTATGATTTTACAACAAAACCATCTTGGAGTAAATCCAACTGCAGTGGAGAGCATGAATCTGGGAGAAAACACACCACCTGTAATGAAGAACTACCTGCACGTAACCTGGAAGTACAGATATGTCATACAACAGCAAAACAAACAAAAAAGTTACTCTGGTATCACTGGTACTACCATTACTGTGCCGTCTATAGGTTCTTTCTTACTATATACCTGTTTGTGAAAAATTTTACTTCCAAAATAACCACTCAAAACCAATTTATATTCATAAACTTATAAAGACACTAAAAAATTAAAAATGCTGACTTTTTTCCTAGGCTGTTTAAGTTTCCTTCGTTTTGGCTCCAGTCCTTTTGTTCCCTTCATATTTTCATCTTCAGAACTACTACAGATTTTCCGAGCTGCCTGCCTGGTTTGTCTCTTTGGAGGCTGAAGATTAATTCCAGCATCTGCTGTCCAGTCAGAATATTCACTTGATGAATCACTGTAGATAATAAAAAGTTGTAAGAAAGAAAACAGCACTTCAGTTTTCACACAACTGAGTGAGAGATCCAAACATTCAACCTAATCTTCTGGTTATGTGGAACAGATGTCGGGATTAGCATAAAATTTCATTCTCATGTGAATTTGAAAAAAATCTAAGTGCCCTCTAATTTGTGTATTTCAGCAAATTATTTTATCAGTTGCAATCTCATGGTAAAACTACAGTTATGGCTGATACCTATTTTCATACTGTCTCACTGACTGACTTCACTCTAGACTGACTTCATAAGAACTTACTGCACAAAATGCATGAAAAATTTAGAAAACTAGAGCACTCTTCTAAAAATACAGTTCTGACTTCTTTAATATCCAAATAACACACATAAAGTATTTATATTAGCTCATGTGCCTTTCAGCCATAAAAGCATAACATTAAGAATAAGAAAAGAGACTGTAGAAATTATACGCAAATGCATATTAACAGAAAAATGAGGAAATACTGAAGTATGAACAGAAGATATGTATGCACTTCTATCAATATTTCTATTGCATGTGACTAACTGGCATTGACTTTTTCAAGCAGTTCTTAATTAAATACAACATTTTCTTATAAATGGTCTTTCAAAACTGTTCCTTATTTTTTAAAACAAACAAACAAACAAAAAAACCCCAAACCAACCCCCAAAAAATACAATACAAAATGCTTCATGAAGAATTGGAAAAAAGTCAGTCTTCAAAATTTAGAAATTTTCACACTGGTTTTCTGATAAATACTGTCATAAAACCATCTACAAATACTTAGTTACTCAAATACGTAACAGTATTTGTTTGTTCACAGACTCCACAAGTTTCATTGGCTACTATTTTAAACTACTTAAGGTGTAACAAATCTGTACTGACTTGTAGTCATAGTATCACAATATCAACTGTCTGTCTTAAATGATGTAATAAAGTAATGTTAACAATTAAGAGTGAAAACAATAAAGCTACCTGGAACTACTTTCACTTTGCCATGCTGCCACAGCATCATCCATAGACGCATCACTTGTGCCAACAGTCTCATCTTCCTGTATTAAAAACAAAAGGTTTCACTTTTGGGCTATGTTTAAAAAGTACCCTTTTTGTTTGCAAGCAAGTTATATGAGTTCTCACCCCTGAGGAAAGTTTTGTATTTAAGGACTGGTTTATCTTTAAATAAGTCCACAATCTTTTTTTGTGCCTTAATTAAACTATACTAAATGCTTGTATAACTCCTATAGAAAGAGATGTGAATTTTAATAGTATTGGAACCATTGAATGAGTTCTTGTTTAAGTGTCTGTTTAATAAACATTAGTGTCAATTGACCAGCCTTATAGCTATTCTGTAAATTCCATGCATTTAGAAAGTGACAACGTTCAGTCTCTTTTACTTTGCACACTTCCTTAATGAGAACAAGTTATATTTAATTTGGTATATTTTAAGTTCTTCCCTTGCCAATGTCAATGATTAATACCAATACTCAATCTCTTTCAACAGCAGTCTACAGATGTAGATGAAATCAAAGCACTGAGAATATGACCTAGAATATATGTGCTGTATGAAATCCCAAAATAGCAAGTGGCTTAACACAACCCAGTTAAATTTACTTGAAAACGTTTCAGATTTCCAAAAATACCCAACTTGTTTTAAGCTACTTTTGAATACTGTACTGGCATTGAGGTAAATGATCCTTCACTCTCCAAGATCAACATACTACAGTCACACCACAAACCCAAAAGACTCAGTGATCTGAGTGTTTCTTCCTACATGGAAAAACTTGGAGCCTTAATGCTAACAGTGCTCTCAGCAAGCACATCTGCTGTCAAGCCATGCTATTTGTGAAAAGGGAACCTATTGAACGGATCGCCTGATGTATCAGACCTCTGAGGAGCTGTCTGATTCTTCCCGTGCACGTGCGTTCTGACTTGCTCCTTGCTGACTGTGCTCTATGGTGGAGCGTGTTTGGTAGGCATGCTGGCGTTTCCGCTGGTTTCTTCTCAAAGACCTTCCACTTCCTGGCTGGTAATCGTTCTTTTATCACAGGAGAGGAGGGACAAAAAGAAAAAGATTAGAGATTTCGTAATGAATTACACAGTTAAAAGATGCCTCATTAAAACGACTGTATGTTGGATCCCATTTACAAATGACAAACAGGGAATCTAAATTAAAATACATCTTTTACACACTTGCCGTTCATTTCAGTGCACCTGGAGGTGTGGTTTTTTTGGTTCAATATCTATTCTACTTTTTAAAGTATCAGTTCTGAGAAAGGAAGTTATGGAGAAATGTTTGGGTTTTTTTTTCTAAAAAATACCTGCAGTCTCTGGATAAGATAAAAGCTAGACATTTGAAGTGTGGTACCTCTAATATTTCTCCTAGTTTCCACAAGCCAAACTGAACACCCACTGTGGCTCTGCTCTTTCCATTTCCCAGCATCTTCCCGCTACTGAAGCCTTAAGGATAGAAATTTACCAGTGCTATTTGCAGACAGACAAATTACAGTTACAGAAGGAAGACAGAGCCAGAGAGACAATTAGTCCTATTGATCTTCTAAATCGTTTAATAAATTAGTTTGGGGTTCTTTGTTTGTCTTTTTTTTTCCTCAGTGCTCAGAACTGCTTCACACCCAGGCTCTCTCTTCTAGGGAATTAACTCACCCGCTGTAAGGTGTGGGATGGCTTTCTCTTCTTTTCAACAGTGTATAAATTAATTTCGATTTCACCTTTGGCTGCTCGACATTCTTCCTGGACCCTAATTATACATAGAAATATCCATTTTATTCAATAAATCATCATATAACTTGACAATCTCATTAATATATGCATTAAAATACTTCTGGTTCCCTTGCTATAAGAAATCTGTGCACAAGTCCTCCAAGCAGCATCCACACAAACTTCACTCCTGCAATCACAAGTTGACGAAGCAAACTTGTTAGCCGAGTATGCATAATTATTTTCAAATAAACTGAAATGTATTAAAATTATTTTCTTTTTTTTTTTTTTCTTTTTTTAAATAAAGCTTCAGGAAAATGTGGGTTTTGAACTACTGAAGAAACATTTAATTGTGAAAAGGAATTACTATTCTCAACTCTCCAGCAGAGGCTACCACTCTAATACTAATATCTGAATTTCAAAACAAAGAAAACAAACAAAACAAAAGCCAACACATTTCTGAAAAATAATTTTTTAAAACTTGTAACAGGTGTATGGAAATATCATTAAACGTCGTACAATTCAATTTTTTTCCCCCGTCTCACTTAGCATCTTACTTGCTGATGCCTGGAGGAAGCTCATTCACCACTACTCTCCTGCTCCACGCCATGAGATCTCTCTCGGTTGCCATTTGACTTCGGGGAGCATTGTGATGCATTTGCCGGACCCCTTCAATCTGACCACTTCTCCGGAGACCAACGTTTGGTGGAGATGTGACATCCAAGCCTGGACTTCGAAGAGCTAAGGAAGAAAAAGATTTTTCTGCACTTCTATAAACCAACAATAAAATCTAGAAGTTAAAGCTTAAGTACTGTGTGGCAATTCTTTTTTTTTGGCAATAAACAACACTTATTCTATGCTAAGTGGCCTTGTCTTTTCCTTCAGATGAACATTTTTGTGTATTGGCCTTGGACTACTAGAGATGCATATGCTACTGTAATATCACTGTGGCTTGCTATATCTTAGAGATAACTGAGGCAAGCAAAGAATATAATCTATAAGAAAAGTTTTAAAGGCAGTTAAGTGACCTTCAAGTCGAAGTCTTGTCAATTGCTTAAAGGCTCTGAAATCATTATTTTTAAATTCTATGGTATGAGAAAAGATGAGGCTGACATCTAAAATAACAGACCGCTGCAAGGTTAAAGGTTTCTGTTGTACCTCCATTTGTTCTGTACTTGTAACGCTTATCTACTGTGCCACAGGCACTGCTCCTGCTCTGGGCTTTTCATCAGGTGACACAATGCAGTGTGACGTGCTCAGGAGAAAACAGACACTTTAGGTAGCAAAGTGAGACAAAAAGTCTGGTAATATCAGAATCACTGCCATCATTGCCTTAATTCATCACATCGTTTGGGAAAGCGTCAACACAATTTCCATGGTTAACTGCATGAATAAATTGCATTCATAGTTGTGCAAACCTCCATAAAAATATTCAGCTTTTAAAATATCAGGTATTTTATGCATACTCTAACTCACACAGATGGATAGTTCATGTAGCAAAGTCAATGGAAGTTCTGTAAGGTAGCTACTTTAAATTTCTAAACCATAAATAGCTGGTAAATCCCTTTCACACAACTATAGGGACATACAAATAAAACTGAGAACCAGGACTGCACAATGCATCAACCTATCATAAGAAGCAGGAAAGACTTCTTGTGAGTTGAAGCTGGCTTCTAGGCCACCTTCTTGACAATACCAATTTCGATCAAAGCAAAAGTGTATTTTCAGCATTTTTCACTAATATTTTTCCTATTCCTTCTTGAATTTAAAAGACAAGCAACTCCAAATCTAGTAATCCTAATGAGCTTTGCCAGGAAATCTAATTCAAAGATGTGCAATCAGTCATTTAACCTAGAACTAATTTAATAGCGGATGTAAATTTTTTAAAAGCTCTGGATGACTTGCAGCACAAGTCCATAGCATCTGCGCCCTTACATCAGCTGCACTCAGTCAGCTGCTTCACAGTCAGCTGTGCACATCTGATTGAGTTTGTTTTAAAATTTTAATCACTTTGTGTATTAAAAATAAAATCACAATAGCAGAACACTTAGCAGGAGAATAATCTCAGGCTTTCTAAGGAAACACTAAGACAGAGCAGACATGTTTATTTTATAAACACTGATGCTCAACCTTAGCATTTATGCTGCAACAGGAAGCCATTAGTCTGTCACAACATTGTATTCCATTGACATTCTCTAATTATATGGTGTTATCTTGACATTATGCAGTTACAAAGTATCATCCCTGCAGTGACTGCCATCAAGAAAATACAATGAACTTTATTTTTTAGAAAAGGTTTATAAGAGGAATAATTACTGTCTAATATTTCTATGTAATCAGATACAGTCCAGTTAGACCATTGTGTGCCCTCAGCTGTACCTTAAACTTCTAATTCTTCTGCTAGCCCCAGAACATCCAACTGCTCCACATAGGTTAACAATGTATATAAGAACAAGAGAGAAAAGCATCCTCAGAGACATGATCTCAGAACTTACATTAACACATTTTGATTAGTACCTTACCATGCTTTAGGAAAATAAATAATGGAGGTATAGAAGGGACACTTACCTCCATTAACAGAATGGGATCTATTGAGTGGAGGGTTTGGAAGAGTTTCTCCTTCATTAATTAGTCTCAGATCTTGTTCCCTCTGTAGCTCTCTGATCATTCCATCAAGGATACTCTCATCCTGGTCGTTAGTTTGCTGCCCGATGACTTGTTCAACTACTTCACCATCACCTTGATAAGAACAAAGCCAAAACTGCTTATAAAATGATTAATTTCTGTTTTACTAAACACCATGGAAATAAACTTAAAATCGTGCACAATTGTTTTTCTGCTCTGCAAAACATCTGATCACCAGCCGGCCTTCTGCTCTGATGTAATAAATGAAGGCAAAGTTTAAAAGAGAAGTTACAATAAAAACCTAAAATTCAGACCACACATAAAACAAACACAAACCCTTAGAAACTGCAGAAAAAAAATATGCTTCAGTAGGTAATAATGGAAGATCTCTTCTCGAGATCAGCATTTTGCAGAAGTTTCTATCTATAAGAAAAAAAAAATCTGTTTAAAAAAACCAAAAGGTATTTTTTCAATGTCTTTCTTACCTTCCTTCTTCCTTACTCACATACATAGTTACACTGAGGTTTATGGGACAATTCTTTAAGCATGCTGTCATATACCTGGAAGAAGCCCACAGATTTTGGAATACTGCAGTCTCCTCGTCTTGTCTCCAGTCAAGTTGATTCCATACACTTCCTTGATGTCAAAAAGCCGTCCCATCTCCTATTCTACCCTTATACTGAATTTTAACCACTAGTTTCAGAAGACAACTGTAACAAACATATCCTTATAGTACCATCCTACTGAATTGGTGCTCAATACATATATTATGCATGAGTTTTAGACAGCATACCATTAGCTACATATCCCAGCTGAGGAATAAGTTGTTCATCCTTGCAATTTTCCCTCCCTGGTACCAGCCGCTGGAATCTCGTGGGATGAGGATTTCCATCAACATCCACCAAGAATGGAGGAGGCATAAGATGTGGAGCCTGTTGAGTTTGTTCATCCAACACATAGTTATTTGCATCACGGATCAGTGGTCGATAATCCGTATGGAAGAACATCTGATCTGGAATCTGCAAGAAAAGCAATCTAGTAAATAAATCAATGGCCATTTGCAGCTGTCTTGCTGCTCTGGAATGGCTCCCATATCCATAAACCACAACTCCTACACTTAGAATCAGCAGAAGAAATGTTATGACAGAGAACAGATTCCTACCACAAATGTGTTTTATTACCACGGCCTGATGCAAAAATTCAAGAGTAAAATATACCAATAGAGGTGAATCAACAGAAGTTAATGCTTTGTTCCCCTGTCTGGAGATTTTCTTGTCTAAATCTTTTTAATTTAGGTAAAGAGCAACCGCTTCATGATTTAATTACTATTTTGTCTGGAGCAGGGCAAGGGAGTAACTATAACACAAATACTTCTAAGACAAAATCAAGTCAGACACAGAAGAGTTGAAAATTCATTCAACCCACCTTTTCATAATATTTATTGCATCCAAAGCCAAATAGTAGCAGATGTCCATGAGAGTCTGTGCAGGCAAAATGCTGTCCATCTGGTGAGAATTTGCAATCAAAAACAGCTCCATGGCCTTGGCCCTCAATCTGTATACAAGCACAGAGCATTCTTTCACAATCATGCATTTTCTGTAAGAGCATTTTTACAGAAATATCACCTGTGCTCCAACAAATATTTAATCCTAATGCTGTGTAGTTTGTCACCTTGTTCAAGATTGATTTACACTTATATTTTTTTCCACTAAAGCCTCACTGAACAATGAAGTAAAGCCTGGCATTTTCTCTTTGTCCTGGAATTTCAGTACAACTTTTAATGTATGTTCTGAAACAACGACCTAGAAGTCTACATTTTATGTTAATGGCAGACATAGGGCAAGCCTGCACCAAAAATCTCAGACGTGTATTGGCTCTGCACAAGCAGGTTTCACAGCCCCAAGTGCCAGGAGGCTAGCTCAGATCCTGAAGCAGTACAGCTGCATTTGCTCAGCACTGGAACCAAACCAACAAACCTGGCACTGGGTGCATTTAGATAAATGCAGCACAGAGCCAACCATACTATTTCCCAGACCACAGCGCTGTGCTACAACGCACAGCCTTACTGGTTTGCATTGCTCTACTCTGCAAGTCACTATAATCTTTTCCATGGTATAATCATGCCCATACACATGAATAATATTCAGATGTAACAGATTCCATGAAAGACTTGCTGCTAGATTTACAATATGCAGAAACATGCTTTTGTATTGCTTACTGTAGAGTCTTCTTTTTAATATTCACAAGTTTTGCCCTAATCCTGTTGTGACATTGGTCACAATAGGCGTACAATGAAATCTGCCTTTGCATCAAGATCAGCTTTATACAAGTGGGAAAAAACTCCTCATCATTCCTGCTCATTCTTACCATGTTAAAGTAATTGCGAATTTTTGTTCCTTTGTCTATATCCCAAACGAAAATATTTCCATCATGACCTGCTGAAAGTACAATCCTTTGGTCAAATGGATGGGCCTCCAGAACAAAAACTTCATCATCGTGACCCTGCAATGAAAGTAGGATGAAGAAAAAAGCTGTATTACTCCATGTAGTATCTCCAAACATGCTAATATTTAGTGTAAGGACATCTCAGTTCAGGTAGTCATCCATGATCTTAGACTAGAACTGTACTTAGTCATCATTTCTGTCAAAGGCTTTGCATTATCACTGCCCACTTCGTAAGTGTGTCAGACTGCAGCTCAGCACAGCCAACATGGAGAGGGATGGAGAGGAAGGAGAAATCAGCAGCAAGGACATCTGCAACCCTCTGATCTGGGCACAAATGGTGGCCTTCACAGGGCTCCCTTGTCAGCCAGCACTCACCAGGGCCTGGCAGAATTTTGGTCATCGGCTCCTTTGTCCATGATACGTACTCCTCCCAATAAGCGTAAGACAGGTGGCATATGTCAAGATTTAGCCTCAAATCAATTTCAGAGTTGAACTATAACCACTTGGGATTACCCACTTGAATTTTACTCACAGATAAACTATGAAGAAGCTGCCCTGTGGATGAGTTCCACACTTTGAGAAGGAAATTGTTGACTGCAGTGATGACAGTGGCATCGTATCTATCCCAAGCCACCATGGTAACCTTCAGTTTAGTCACCTTGTCCTCCCCAGATGCTACATTGTTTCTAAAGAAATTAATAATTTAAAGAAGAAATAAATCAGTAACTACATACAGAAGCATTTAACAGTGCTAATTCAGTATGGAATCCTGGAGAGCATGGCTGCCACCAGTGCGGCTACTGGCTAATGCAGGAGAACAAAAGATGGCTTCTGCAGTGGTAAAAGCTGGATACAGAAAATATTCAGTGCCACTAAGATTTACAGAGTTTTATTTCCTTAAAAAGAACAAGTTTCTCTTCTGTTCCTCTCAAGTGATCATCCTTGCCTACCCCAATTCCTTCTTTCAAACTATTCCTATTAAGTTTTTTCATACAAGGCATTTTCTTATCAGTCACTAATGAGTAAACTCTATAATGATGAAGAACCTGCTAAATAAATCCAAATAATACTTTGACAGCTATCTTATTAAAAATGTAACCATATGAAATATAAAGAATTCTGCAAAGCAAAATGCCTAATTTCTGCTTTTTGCTATTGCTCATGTTCAATTACAAGGCCATTTACAGAAGACACTTGAGGATCTCAAGAAGAAAAACTTGAAACCCTAATCGAACCTGAGAAACAAATCACTGTATCTCACCTCTTGAAAACTTAAGGAAAAATACAGTGTTAAGAGACATGCTGGATATGTATTAGCATATGATCAATGAGGTTCTACTAAAACCTCTATCCGTGAAATGAATTCTATTTGACATTCTTACTTCGTATGTAGAATACTAAATATTCCCCAACATTAAAGAACTACCAATGTATTAGTATTTTCTTTTGAGGGCTAATTAACTGTGTAACTTAACAGATAAGGCCATGGCATTTTCAATACACAAAAAAAATCATGCACTGAAATTAACTTAAAATTAAAGTAAATAGTTTTCTGTATGATGGAAGATTTTTGTTTGTGTGTAAATGGGGCTATGAAGTGTGTTCTGGTTTGGTTTGGTTTACCCTGTCATTTTAGTAGCCATATCCAGGACCACACTCTTCCAATCTTGCTGCTGATAGTGCCATATTCTTGCTGTTCCATCTCTGCTTCCACTGACAAATCTTAAGCTATAGAAAAAAAAAAGAAAGAAAAAAAAAGTAATGAAATTCTGAGTAAGTAGAAGTCATTTCTGCTTTTAGTCTAATACCCACATGCCCATCTTAGGATCTTATTTTCCTACTATTCAGTACCTTTGCTATGGCATTTTCCATCCTCAGCTACAGTGTGGGCTTGCTAAGTCCTGTGGCAAGAATATTTAGGAGCTTGGCAGAGGACTGTCATTCACCTTAGGAAAGGTTGCTACAAACACTTCCTTTTATGTTATTCTGCAACAAACATGCACACACACACACACAGACAAGTATATATGTACTTGGAAATGTATACTTGTGTGTATACTTGTCTTACTCTATATATGCCCACACATAAGCATGTTTAATAACTCATAAAATATCCATGAACTACTGCCACACGAAACAGGCAGCTACAAAATGCTGGCAAGCCAAGAGCACACCCATTCACACCAGCACAGAAGCTAGAATGTATTTAATCTTTTTTCAACATTTATTCTTTATATTGTTTGTGCATCTCTGATCTAGAGAATGTAATTAAGAGACAGTGAGGTTACAATTTTCATATCAGATATTGTACGGTACAAAAGAGTTTATATCCCACAACATTAATTACATTTGGCTACAGCTAGCAGATGGCCTTGGAATGACTTCAATGTCGTAATTCATACAAGCTGCACATTCCCTTTTTAATGACATCAGCAAATCTCTCGAGCAGTTCATAGTGGCAGGAAAGAAAAAGAAACTGCATGCCAGGAGTCTAGCATAGATTATAATATATTAACTTAGGGAGAGGGTGAAGACAGAAAAGGGAAATGCCCAAGTTGAACACAAATAGGTAGTCCTGCCTGTAAAGTTGAACACGAGTGTTTTCATTCTTAAGTTCCTCTTTGTTTAAAAAATTCAAGCATCCAGCAAATGCATTCATCTACATCATAATGCTTTGGATATCATTGTCATAGAAATAATTTTTGTTGAGAATTTTTTAAAAAGCTCCTCAAGTAATACATTTTCACAGGACAGCCAACACCTTTAAAAGTATATTCCATTTAATCATAGAATTACATGCAAAAAGGCAAGCCTATGCAATTTTATTTTAATAAGTGATTGTTTCCCCTTTTCAGTTTCTGTGATCTGAATTTTTTCATCATGATCTTGTGATATTTATTTTATTTTTATTTTTACTTCTTAATATTAGAATAAAAAGGAAGCTATCACTTCTCCATTAAAAGCATCACTGTAGCATGTGATTTTCAGTGACCGTGTGAACTAATAGCCCCAGTGAGACCTGTGCTCTCACACTGCTTGGAAGGAACTGTTAGTACAGTTATACCAGCACATTCCCACATAATTTTACATGACAAAGATCTCTGAGTACAGGTGCAGTTCCACTGGCAAAGCTACAGTTTTGCTTGGAAGGCTCCTGCTTGCACACATCCCTTAAACCTCTTGCCAAGCACAATAAGGAATAAGAGCAAAAGCTGACATAAAACCATTTACGTTAAGATGCTGGTCACTCATCAAAGCTTGTCACACCACTCTCCACCACAGCTGCGCTGCAGAAGTTTGACACACACACATGCCTACAGGCACCTTTATACATTTTACCACGAGCATCCTGACTTTAATTGTTACATAAGAGGTAACATCCTGACTTAGCAGTTTTAAAAACTGAAAGCTCTGCAGGTTGGAATGGTTCACTTGATAAATTTTAAGACCACAGGATTACTGTTATCATCTAAACTAATTAATTGGAAATTCACGTATTTGCTAGGTATGTTGTCAGAGATAAGTAAATTATTACGAATAGTAAAGCAGACCAATTAAATGCTCATCAAGAGCCAAAGGTCTTAAGACTGTACCTCTGTAACCAGTTCTGGACAGGTGGCAGCAACCAAGGACCATGAGTTCAGAGACTATGTGATGGGGATGTAGAGTAACTGTCCCATATATTCAGTTCCAGCAACTGGTGAAAGTTAGTGCTGTAGTTCATCAGTAGTCACATAAGCGAACACAGACTCACAGAGTCTTCACTCCAGGAAATGTTAAGATTAGTCCACTTAATATCACACTTGGTGATGCTAAACCATCCAGAAATACCAGTGACTCAGTGAAGACTAATGATAGTGGATTGCAAGGAGACACCACAAAAATATGGCAGGACACTACTGAAATATTACATAAAACATCCAAATCCTTGTGAAAAGCCAAACAATTTTAATGAAAAGAACATGTGTAAAAGAATGTTTTAATCTCAAATGAAGACAAATTAAGCAGGGAAATTATTTCTATTAAGTAGACTAGATCCAAATTTAAGAAGTGAGGATCAATTGCACCTTTATATCCCACTGAATATCTGTTCTTTGATTATTCCCCCTTGAAAATAAGCCAGATTTTTGGGAGTTGTTTGTTTGGTTTTTTTTTTGTTGTTTTTTTTTTTTTTTTTCTGGCAATTTAAGAGTTATAAAAATACAAGATGAGGGATACAAGCCTGGTTATTCATCATCTCATGTTTATTTCTCTAGAACCTCGCAGAAGTCAAACTCTTATGAATTGTGAGTGTTTTTATGAAAACAAACACTCTTCCTGTATTTCTCACAACTCTGAGCACAAGAAGAGACAACTTGCTTATTCAATGAGCCTGGAGAGGGCCTGGCAGAAGAAATCATTCACCAAGGAATTAAATGAGACAGACAGTAAAGGGTGGATGGCCTTCTCTTTCAGCAACATATCAGCAATGTCATTATTTGGAAAATGTTTTCAAACTATGCTAATCATTGGCTGCTTTGTGATCCCCAGCTGGTATAAATGATACAGATAAAATTTACTTCTCTTGCATATGTTAACAAAAAACCCCAACATACAGATAATCTATTGACAATATTATCAGCTTCAACATGATTCTCCTACGGTTCATAAGTAAGAGCACAGTGAAGTAATTAAAACAAAACAAAACAAGATAAAAGGTAGTTCTACAGTTCCTTGTTTTCATTATGCATGATGCTCATCATTTAGATGCCATTATTTCCTCGATTTTCTTCCATCTCACTTCTGATCAGACACCAAGTCTTGTTTTCCCTTTCATGTTTATCTTCTGTTCATAAATGACTACACTGAGTTAGTACATCCTTTCGGTCAGTGCAGACAGCATTGCTCAGATGTTAATCTGACAGCATACTTCTTTAGAAGTCAGAGTGTTACACTCCCACTCTGCTTATCCCAGAGAGGACAGAGCAAGAGCAGTGGAAAAAGAAGTAAAGTGGCCTTCTCATTTGTGCCCCAGTACAGAAACAAGGCAAATATTTCTCCTTTGAATGCAAGAGCTACTAAAAGTGCTACTGTCATAGGTAGCTTGGTCTCCCCTTTGCCTCTAACTTGGCCATCAGCACTGGCTATGGCTGGCAAACAGACATGTGGTACGGTCGCCACGCTACCCCTTTGCTGTCCGCAGCTCCAGAAAAAAGGATGCCCAAAAAATCACTAACTCAAGCAAGAGCCACACGGATAAATAAATATGTGTATGTACTTATTTTTCATCTGGCTCTAAAAAGACTGAAACGATAAAGCCAACAAACTTTTTTCTCCCCACATTTAATCTGATATTTTAGTTAAGAAAAAAAGTAATTAAGAAACTAAATCCCTGATTCCATTATAAATAATGAATATACTCAGATATTATTGCCATCTTACCAGGTAAAAGCACCTTGCAAGAGAGGCTCCTTTAATGAAGATCAGACCACAGCTCCTTGCAGAATTACTTGTCTGACCATCTGTGTATGTGTAAAAGTTCTAACTTTTGCTTAAAATTACATTTATTATAATGCTCTTACTCCTGAAGTAACCCCTGTTGTACTTAACAAGGCTACCTGTTAAGTAAGACAGTCTTCCACAGAAAGTATATAACATTTGATTTCCAATTTGCTGTTTAAAAAAAGTACCGAGCAAAAGCATATTTACAGAACATTTTTGTTGTTACAGCAGAGGACAACATGTCCAAGCTCAAGGACATGACACACATCGTGCAACATACTTCAAATAATTTGTCTAAGATTAATCAGAGCCCACATACAGTCTTCCTGTTGCATTAAATTTTCTCTGAAATGTTATTTGGAAAATTAAATACCATACTTCTCATGTCCAAATCCTAGGACAGCCACTCACCTGTCACCATTGTTACAGAACTGGACTGCAACCACTTTGTCCTAAATAGGAGGGAGGAAAAATATAGTAGTAAGTACTTTGTAAGCTGAAACACTCATCCAAAAAGATCTTAATGATGGGTCTATTTAGCAAATTGCATCTTCCAATGCATCTCCTATAACATACTATCTTACAAATTCAAGAACAGAAAAGTCACGTTTGAAGTTAAAACTTCCCCAGACATATTGTGTTAGACACTGAGATATGAAACTCCAGAGAGGTGATGGTTTTGTGTTACTCCAGATGTAGTTCAGACAGAAACGATTTCGGACTCAGTCTCCCTGACACGTAGACCTTCAGGAGGAAGAAGCTGCAGCAGCTCTACTCTTGCCCGAGCACAGTCTTCCTGCACAATGCCACAGGACCAGGACTGTACACGCCCTCAGGTAAGCTCTGCCTGGGAAACCCTGCACCTTTTAGACTCCACAGAGTTAACAGGAATAAGGTATCCCTGGAGCTCACAAGGCCTGGTAGGTACAGCACTCCACAAGATGGAGAAAGAACAACTTAATCAAGTAAATGATCACAGCAGGTTTGCAATTTTTAGACCTAACATTAAAGTGCATCAAAATATTTCATTTTAAAAAAAAAAAAAAAAAAAAATCAAATCTTGGCTTTATTTCTACTTTAAAATTGTTGCAAATCAAATGTTGGTTTGGGCATGGTTTTGCCTTTTTTCAGTTTGCTAAATACTTGCGTTGGCTACATGCACTTGCTATCTTTACTCCCAGTGATATCTTTAGTTCCTGATAACCAAGTGTCCAATTTGGAATTTTTCTCAGGGGTGGGCTGACAGCAGTCTGTAATATTAAGAAGAGTAGACTTTAAAAAAATCAAAGCAATTAGTTTCTTCCAAATGTGAACTGCTGAATAGAGAAAACATTTTTTTCTTCTGTGAACAAAATACTTGTTAGATTTGTTGGCTTGGAGCTCCGAGACTTAAATATGAGACTCATGACTCCCACTGAAGTTCAGTGAATCAATTTAGACCACAGCTTTGATCCATAAAATACTGTTAAGGTGGGCAGCTGTGCTATTAAGGTTCAATGATAAATGCTCCAAACTTCTCAAAAGTGACAGCCCTATCAGTGTTGCTATAAGCTTGCCTTTCTGATATATTGTTTACCATGCACATAATAAATAATGCAATCATCACCTGCCCTCAGCAACAACTAAGAAATTAAGAAAGATTTGATACTGTTTTAGTGACACTTCTTTATGGAGTTTCATTAAAACTGAGACATTCAGTGGTTTTAATAAAAGCTATCAAGGCTCAAACTTGAAAACTAACATTGAAAGACATTGTACAGATATTTAAGATAGTTTGAAATTTTACAAGAACCCTTTTGCATTACCTGAGAAAGAATGCTTCTAAGCTTGCTTTATTTTCTAAATGAAATTACCATCATGATCCAAAGTTTGTCTCTAAAAGCACAATTACTTTGTTTTTTCTTGTTATGCAGATTTGTGGTCACAACTAAAGTTAAATACTCAACAGTAAATTTAATAGGAAAAATGACACTCTGCATGAAAACTGTTTTAATTCCTCATTCCAAAGCATACTTTCTTAAAGAATATGGGAAAATCACATCATCCCTCAGTTTCCTGGGGGAATGAAACACATAAAGCGTATTTTGGACACATCTCCTGCCTCAGAGGAATTTAAAAATAAACATACCACAAATTTCCAGGCATTTAAATACCACAGTGTTGAGAGCCAACTAAACTCTAAAGACTGAAAATAAGTCCAATAGGAAGTATAAAACCTAAGTTCCTGAAATAAGGTAAAGAGGCAGAAAAAAAGATTTGCTTTCTGATTTGTCTCTTACCGTATGAGATTCTAACTCAGCCATTTTCTCTGGAGATTCTGAGCCCAAATAATAAATTCTTATCACGTGGTCAGTACTACCTGTTGCAATGAACATGCCACCTAAGAAAGACAGTGTTTTCTGTGAGAAGAAAAGCCATCCTAGGAACAATTTATTTTAATTACTGCTTTATTGTCAAAGCAGCAAATTATGGTTTTAAACAGAAAATTTAAATGTAATCAAAATGTATGTCCTGAACAAAGAAGTTAACTCAAAGCTTCTATTTTGATCTGTATTTTCTCAAATCATAACAGCTTTAGCGTAACTATGAGCTCTACAATATTTTCCAGCTGCAAACCTTTCTGACCAAAGGAAGAGAATATTGCAAGTTACAATATCCATCCAATAAACTACTTTGCTTTCCTGTAGAAACTACCATAGCTCTCTCCATCAGCCTCTGTGGAAAATTAGATGGGGAACAGTTTCATATTCTCACAGGTAAATATCTAAGAAAATATTTAAGCACATCTTCAATATCTATTTGACACACATCAGAGAAATTACTGCCGAATCGGAAGGCAGTGATTATGCTATTTTCTTGTAATGTTTGCTCTATTTACAATATTGTACATAAGGGGCACTATTGCATAGTTTACTGCATTGAAATGGTTTTAGTTATTTCAGGATTTCTGGTTTTAAAAGGAACATGGGCAAAGGTCACATGGCTCTAGAATAGCTCTCAATTTCAAATAGCAAAAATTAATGAGAAATTACTAATTTTATTTGTAAAAATCAGTATTTTTGAGAATTCAAAGCTACAACAAAGGATGTCAGTTAAACTGATATTTTCAAACACATTGAATTGATCCTCTTAGACCTTACCCAAATTTGGAAGATTAGCAAAAGTGTAACCTTTGAATGGAGGCCACCTGTCTGCCAGATTTCAGGAACTTTTTACTCAAAAACTTTACAAGATAAAACCTTAAAAGGATGTTACAAAGAAAAATCTCTGATGTGCAAAACAACAGACTGAAAGCACAGTCTTTCTTGGAAGTGGTCAAGATATTTTATCTTAAATTATAGAAAAAAAAAAAAGAGAAAAAGCAGCTTGAGGCAGATGCTTAGTATGGAAAATTTCAAACAACCACAATATGACAGTGCTATAATTAACTGGAAAAGGGTTTAATATTTGTATCTATAAAGAAGTAACAGTCACATCATGAAAGGAATTCTAGTTCATAAAATACTTTCAGCTCCCTTACAATGCATACATACCGGAACTGAAAGAAGAACAAGATATCTGAACACCAGGTCTGGACCTCTCTGCAAATTTTACAGGGCGATCCCTATATGCAACAACAAAACATTTTCACTTTTTATTACTGTATTCCAATGGCACTCAACAAGAACAGTGCACTGCAGCTCAGCAGATTACAGCCAATATGCCCATCCTAAATCTCTTTATTTCAGAATTCTCACCTAAGTCTGCTAGAACTTATTTTTCATTTTAGTAATTTTCTTCCTTAGTTTAGTAACAAAAGCACCATTTACTAAATTGAAAAGACTATTTATCATGATACTCACAAGTTCAAATCTAGGTAAAACAAAACCTGGCAAACCACGAGTCTAATAGCATTTACTCCCTATTAAGTGTGGGTTTGATGTCATCTACATATGTGTGTTCTGATTAAAAGCAAGTAAATTCTTCTGCCTGTACATTCTGGACAAGGATTTAGTCCTAAACATAAAAGCTGAAAGTTCTTCCACAACACTGGCTTGCAAAGCACATAACACTGAAATAACAGTCCTGATCTCTGCCTCCCCTCTGGGTTGTAATGCCATAGACTCCCCAACACACACATACGAAAGCACACCCTGCCCCACACACTGGTATGGCACTCATGCACAGCATATCTATGGGAGAATATATTCCAAGTTACTTGTTTATTGAGAAAGAACACACCCTTATTTAATTATCTCAGCATTCCTCTCCACACTAAAAACTCAAAATAAATTTGTCCTTTATTTAAGATAATTATCTAAACAGGCTTACTTAAATTTCATGGTGTTAGCATGCCACTGCCAGAAACAGATTGTTCCGTCAGCACCAGTAGAAGTGAGGTATCGTGTTGTTCCTTTCCTTGCTGGAGAGAACTAGAAATAAAATTATAACAGTTAAACCAGCTAATTTATTTCTTCCCTTACATGCTGGAAACTTGTAAGCGGACATTGACAATAATCTTTTTCATAAACATATTAGCTTGCTCCCTGGGAGTACAGACAGCAGTATCATGGACAACCACAGAATCTAAACCTCCATACAAATAAAGCTGAGGAAATGGAAAACACATACATTTTGACTAGTAAGTCTTTGTTTCTACCACAAAAAAAGTTAGTAAATTGGAGAAATTAAACAAGCCTAAACCTTTTCAATGGGGCAACAAGATGAGGAAATACTTCTTTCTAGCACAGGACTGGATCAAATACAGTAAAAAAGACAAAAATGATTCCTGCATCCATGCCCAAAGAAAACCAGCAGTGCAGTAGGACACCCACTCCCTCCCTCTTCCTGAACCTCTCCTCTGCCTCTCTAAGGAGTCGGAAATCTTCTCATCCTGAAGTCTCTCACTTTAATTTCGTAAATGCAGCAATACCTTTAACCCTCTGGCTATCTGGTAATGTGATAAAGGAATTAAGCAGTTTCATCAAAAAGCCAGGACTGATTGTCTTTATTCTCTAAATTACCAGAGTTTTACGAAAAGCTTGTGAGGGATGCGTATGTACATTAACAAATAATCTACAATACACAAAAACAGGTTGTAAAATGTCTCCAGAACAACCACCTTAGAGTAACTAGGTTGTGGCATACTTCAAATCAGACAAAATTGGAAGTGTAGGCAAGGAGGGGAGAAATGAGACTCCCAAGGACTACTGGCATGCTGGAGAAGACTGTGATGAATCAAAGGCAGCAAGACTCCAGAAGAGAGGGATTCTAAGCCAAACATCCCCACTCGCTCTCCCCTCTATGTGCATAACCTTGCTAAATTGCAGAGATTGTCTTTTTTATCCTGGAATGTTGTTTTGTTGAAGGTTTCTGCCTGGCAGTTGTGTTTTTTTTTAAGGCAAATAAACTGCAAATTACTAGCCATTATTGACTGTGCCACCACTAAAGAACTGAGTGCTGGCAGTTTAGCCTTTTTTTTTTCCTTCTCCACTACTGCTCACTGGGCACTTGCCACACAACTGAAGCTGCAAGGGCACAAGCAGAGATTCTGTGCAAAGCCTGATCTGTGCTGTACTGTGGCTGCTGCAGCATCTACGTATGTTACAATGTCTAGAACAGCTCCTGAAGTACAGGCTAAGATAACGAACAAGTAAGAAATGTGGAGTATTGATTTTTAGCTGATGGTATTCTTCTGAAAAATACATGTTCTCTATGAATACGTGACTGCTGGGTCAGTTGCTGTGCAAAGACTACCACCACAGACCAGCCACATCTGCCTGGATCAGCTAGTTGATCTGACACTGCTCCCAGTGACCAAGCGACCACAGATTTGCTAGATTTAAGGAAGCAGCAATGGGACGAGAGAGTTAAAGGCAGCTACAAGAAGCAGGACCATCCCCCTCAGGCAGTAGCTGGACACTGCATAGGATTGAGTTTGCCCCAAAACAACACTCTCGAGTTGGGGCAAATCTACACTGCCAAACAGAGATGAAAAGAGAAGTTTTATCCCTGATTGCTAATCCACATCTCTTATTTACCATTTTAATTCAAAGGTTTAGGAAAATGTCATTCCTTACCTGTATGGAAGTAATGGAAGCTGAATGGCCCTGCAGCACTGCGACTGGGGCACAAGTTCGAAGACACCATACTCGGACTACTTTATCACAACTGCCTGCAGCAAGCAGCGTGTTCTCGTAGTTAACAGCCATGTCAGAAATTTCAGCCGAGTGTCCTCGCAATGTTGAGAGCAGGCGCCCATCATCTGTAGCCCAGATTTTGACCAAACAATCATCTGACCCCTAATGCCACACAAAAATTTCCAAAAATTACATAAAATAACATACATGGTTTATGTGTACATAATACAGAGGTGCACTGTAGATGAACAAGTATGTAAAACACCACTGTCCTGTGAACCTTCCAGAAGAACAACTTCAGTGGGGTTCTACAGAGGCACAACTGTTGGAGTTTGGGAATCATCTTGTGGGCTCAAGGATTTAGATATTTATAAACAGAAGCCACTGTCTTATGTTTCATACTAAGATACAATTACCACTGCTAATACAACTCCTCTCAGTACAGTTCAGTAATAATTAAGGTAAATTTAAGCAGATAAAATGTTTCATTACATACTACCAAAAGACATACTTATCTGTGTGAGCCGGATCTAGCCAGCAGTAAAATTAAAGTGATCCTAAGACTTAAGCAATAAGGGAAAAGAGCACTTAAACATCTGAGGGATCTCAGAGCCTCTGCCATGCCCCTGGAGCTGTAAGGCAGCTATACAATGAGGTTCAATTTCTGTTAACAGAAGAAAGCTGGACCAAAGCGAGAAATTGGGCAGCAACATGTGAAACTGAAATACTCTCAGTGAGATTTCAGTTCCAGACAGGACACAGTTCAAAAGCATATCAACGCAGATCACCGTAAAATACTTTTACCTACAGTAGCAGCTATATAATTTGTTACTCAATCCCAATATTGCCAAGAATTTTTAGACGGTTCACAGATCTTTCCACTGTTCAGGTACTACAAAGAATACTAACACTAGTGGCTAGGATTGCCACTATGTCTTCAGAAACACAACACAATAAAACTAACTGCAACATCAGCATAATTGGACTTTAAATTACATTTTATTAACTGCAGCTAAATTTGAACACAAATCCCGTTCAGTTCTCCATATAACTGCAGATGAAAAAGACTTCTTTATGGTATAAACAAAAACAGAAAGGCCCTCACTATGACTCAGAGTAATAATCATTAACAACATCTTGATTTGACCAATTTATAATGAGTGGAGAAGCTAGCAAGAACACAAAGACAACAATTAGCCTGCCAGGTAATCTGTTTCTAAACTCCTATTGCTAAGAGACAAAGGCAAAGACAAGACAAGACAGGGATTAATATTAACAGTTAAAAAATGCATTATTAATTTGAAAATCTGTTAATTTTTACATATGCACAACAAAAAAGTAAGAGCAGTATCACAGAAATGTATGTTAATATATTCTGGAGAAAAACTTAAAGTAATATTCATATATTCACTGGCATACTACAAATTCTAGAAAGAAAATTTAGTAGAGAATTAAACTGCAGATTAAGTAATGAGGTCTTCTATTTATCATCACATTTTTACTGAAATGTAAGGAAAGGATTGTCAGCATTTCCAAGGTTACCAAAAGGTAAAATTTAGTTTTTAAAAAAGTGTTAAGATTTAACCCAGCAGGCAGCATGCAAATTAACTCCAAATCCCAGAATACTGCAGGTTCCATTCAGCAAGAAAAATGATAAATAAAGAAAAATAAGCACGTTTCTAGTGTGAGTTGCAAGCTCTGAACCGGAACAACCCTGCTGTGAGGTTCTACATGGGGAACAAAATATCTGACTAAGTTTCAGTCTACTGGAGCTGTGAGCAATTTTAAAATATCAAGTCAAGTTGAAAGTGAAAATTAACATAGAAAGAGATGGGTTTTCAACACATTTCAGGATTTTTCTTCCCTTCTTTTTCTGGAAGCTGTGTCTGCACCCCAATCAGTGACTAAGAGGTTGTTGCAAGACTCAGGAAAGAAGGCAATCTTCCAAGAAAAGTACAATTTTTGAACTTACTGTAAAAATTCTTCTTCCACTGCGATCAAAGGCTATACAATAAACAGATGATAGATGTCCCAAAATCCTCTTATGCATTTTCATGTGTTGGTAGGTGGATGTTGGGAACAAGTGGCTGAAACGTCCACATCCAGTTAATTGCCTGGCAGAAATTATATTTACTGGGAGAGAAAAACAAGACAAGAAGAAAACTAAGACATGAATTTTGTCCAGAACTCAAAGTAAATAAATATTAAATAAAATATAATGTTTGGTAACAGCTTTATTACTATAATCCATAAATCTGAGCCTCTTCCACCTTATCAGAACATTCTGTACAGTCTTGTAAAAAAAGTCCACTCCTGATCAAGCATTTCAATATCTACCATACCACACACAGCTCCTGCTTTCTTATACAAAAATTAAAGCAAAATAAAAAGTTCCCATCACAACTAGAAGTTATTCCAAGTGTTCAATTCATGAACAGACAACAGATACATTTATTCTATATGGATGTGGAAAACTTTATATTAGTAACATATAATTTCCTTTAAAAAATTACAATTTTTGGAGTATAGTAATAGTCCAAGTGCTTTTTTCTGTGATAAAAATCTGTCTTTGGAATGGGTTACATCCAGATCACATGTGAGGGTCAACTGTCTTCCACATGTTTCTCACAGAACCTCTCTCATTATAAGCAGCAGCAGCAACATCATTGCATTTCTATGGCAATGTAATTGAAAAATAAGAAATATGTGGCACCAGTGGAAAAAGTTCCAGTCAAAAAGATAGCAGGCACAAGACAAAACTGCAACAACAACAAATTATTTCATATTGTTAAACCTAGGAGTCCTTACAAAAACCGCCTGCAATCTAAATGCACAAAAACATCATGTAAAAAAACTGCACTGGTATCTTTTTCACTGACAATAACTATGAATTTTTCCACTAGACAAGAAAAGAAGAAAACAGGCAAGTATGTGCCTTTGCTGGGACACACCATCACTGAAGATCACTACGGCTGTAGAATATAGAAAGATTCTAATTCTTATCTTTGATTTGATGTATAATTTGAGATCATTTGGGGTATTTAATTTTACATATCGTAATTTATACCACTTGAACTTTTGATTTTAAGGTTTTGAGAGTTTTATTTCAATGGCACTTAAAGATCTAACATTGCTATATTGGTGGGCTTTGTTGAGTCCTTGTGATAGCAGGCTCCCTGAAGAAACTCCTTATCTTGCCTACTGAACACTGAAGTAGGCAGGGCTTCACAGGAGCGGCATGAAGTTCTTTAGTGCCTTTCAATCCTTTAGTTTAAAAGTATAGCGAACACCTTGACTCATTTTCTTAATTGTATCATCATATCACTGCGTGTCTGCACCAAAAAAAAATTTTAAAAAATTATGAAATATGATTTAAAAAAATCTACAAAGTCAAGAAACATCATTTCAAAGGGTTACTAACCCTTAATACACTTCTGTGTATTTTTAAGATTGAAGTATTTATACACAAGCAGAGAGATAAATGGGCAAGGAAAATAAATTGTTTCCATATTTACAAAAAGTACTTTTGTTTCTCAGTTCTGTGCTCTGAAATTTGGATTATTTTTAGTCACTCAATGGAACTGAAACATATGAGAGGAAAAAAAAAAGTTGCATAAAAGGTGTGATGCTTGCAAAAGTCATCAGGCTCCCAGTGTGACCTCAACTTCAGTCAATATTTTTTTTCATGTAAAAACTCATATTCAGCAGTACTAAAAATGCAAAACACACTAAACCAAATTAATTTACTATCTACCTACTACTCAGTTGATACCTCATACTATACAGGAACTATTAAATTAAACTGTCTCCCTAGCAAAGTAAAAATGAAATCTTTAACCCTTTTTCCCCACCTTTTACAGGGGAGAATAGAGATACCGTAATGATAAATGCTGTACAAAGGTACTGTGAGGTTTACCTACACATTATTTTATTTACTATTAATTATGCTAGCTTAAAAGCTAAGTTCTTAAAAATATTACACCTCCCTTTCCCCCACACTGTGGACACTGTTATGCCAACAAAGAGATGTAGTAATTTAGCAATCTGGTAATTCTGCTGTGCTTTTCAGTGTTTAAATCATTTAAATACATAATAACAGTGTATCTGCCTTTAAACAATTTCAAATGCCTTTGAACATTTTTTTTAACCACACAAAGAACTGCATGAATCAAAAAGGTATACTCACATTTCAAAACATTCCAAATAATCACAACACCTTCTGTGTACTAGTGTTCCCATGCAAACCTTCTGAAAATTTACCACTGCTGTTTGTTGTAAATCACATGAAGGAAACACTAAAATGTATAACAAATATTGAGGCACCTAACTCCTACAGCCTTTCATTTGGAACATTGGCACCTAACTTTTCCCATCAATTCCCAGACGTCCAACCAGTTCAGCTTCAGAGGATGTGAAAGTAATTTCACTTTTTTCTGTGTCTGTTTCCCTATTTGCACAGTGGGGACAGGACTCCTCAATCTCCCATGAACAATTAAAAAATAAAAAGCACTGCTTATGAAATGCTTCAATCACAAGTTTCACAGAAATACAGAACTATTGTTGTACCATAAGAAGTACCACCTTTATCAAAGCAACAGCATCTTTGAACAAAAAGTAGCAACTATTCAATGTATCTGATCCTCACTATAAAAATACTTAGGGCATACCAGAAATATATGCCACACACACAAAACTGATTGTGATTTTTGTCTTCCCACACGTCACAAACTATAGCTGCCTTCAAAGGAACTGCAAAGTAAAAAAACCCCACAAAACAAAACAAACATCCCCGATTCCAGTTCTCATATTTTTTGTAGAACATTAACACACAATACCTAAATAGGGAATTACCCACACATGATAAAAATCCCAGTGAAGTTTGCTTTCTTCAGTACAATGAAGTTATTGTACTCAGAAGGCCTAAAAGCATTTAAAAACAAAAAAAAAAAAATCCACACAGAGAATTAGTAACATAGTAGCCCTAAAAACTTTTAGCAACCTATCTAACTAGTGTCTGTACTTGATGCTATACTGGGTATAACAGCTGCCAAGTCTACCCCTCACTATTTCCTGCAGTGAAAAACTTACAAAACCGCATCAATGTTATTTCACATAAAAAGTGAGCCTATCTAGTCTTCTTGTTAAGAAAAGAAGAAAAGTTAGTTTTGTCCACAAACAGAAGGGCTGTGTTCTCTGATGAAGTTCCTCACTTCTCTCTGCTGCCATGACTGCTGCCCAGGTGCACAAAGCCGCTGATGATGCTGTGAGAGGTGGGCTTGCTCCCCCTTTGCCCACTCCCACCTCAGCACCACCACAGCCAGCTCCTGGCACACTGGGAAAAGCCCTGGCTTGCAGACACACACCAGTGCCTCCTCGAACCACCAACTTGTAGTACTAACTGAGGGTGACGTGGTAAAACGCTGTTCCTTTCTAACAGTCCTTGAAGATCACACCTTCAGGAAAATTACAGTCCTTAGTGCAAGTACGGGCACAGCTGCAGGGGGCAGAGGGGAGTCACCTACATTGTACAACCGTCATTCTTAAATCACAATCCATTTTACTAGAGATAACAGCACAGACATAAAAACCCTTGCAAGAAAGCTCACCTAGGAAAGATAAAACCAAAACCCTGCAACAATAGCCCATCAATGAAAACAAAATTTAAGAAACAATCATCAGAGATTACAAATTTCAAAGTTAAGTCACAACTTCAAAAGGAATTAAAACACTTCAGCATGGACAAAGCCACCTAGCCGCAGCATTTTTCAAACTGCTTGAATTCTTCCTCTCCCTATAAATCCTTGCCTCACTCCACTTATTGCAAGCAAAAATATAATACTGATACAAACATTTGTTTTAAAAATAGTTTCTCTAGTATTAAGGATGATGACTTCATATCATATTATTTTACCCTCTGAAATAAGCACTGTAACTTCGTAATGAGGACATAACATTTTACATAGCCACGACGCGTGGTGAGTAGGCTGTGACCTCACCGTAGGGCCTGATCAAGCATGAAGATCAGATACCACTCACAATGTGCAGAAGAAACACAACTCTGGATTTCGTAAGAACACTGGGAAATAAACACTGTTGGCTCAGACATGCAAAATACCTTCTCAGAGCGTGGATGTGTGGCCACAAAGACAGCTAGACCCAGTAAAAGCACCAAAAGAACAGTGTGTTCCAGCTTTCATAGCTGCTGACCTCATGGAACTCATTTACAGCAGAGAAACATCATTGATTTCTGACCTCATCAGAGCACTGCTGTTTGGCAGGCCTAAGGTAGCTGGCTCACCTTGACTGTAAATTTCCATACAGCTGAACTGTTTGTTCATTCAGACCATGCCATGAACCTTCTGGTCTCAAATTTTGCATTATTTTCACTAGCAACAGTTACCCACACAAAGATTTTCATACTCAGGTTAGAATAGCTCTAGTAATCAACTAAAGAGGGAAACCAACCTTCTTTCTAATCTGCTCTGTGTTGCCTGCAAAAGAAAAAACCTCCTGACAAAATCAAAGTAGTATTTAAACACAGGAGTGAATAACTCCCATTGCTGAGGTACTGTATGACCAGTCTTTCAACTTGCTGACTGGAAGCACACAAAAGGAGTCCTAAACATACCACTACTGCAAAACCTGTGAAGAAACGGTCTACAAGACCATCTTCACTGTATTCACCGTGTTGTCCTTTCAGCAGCAGAACACTATGGCAGCATTTTCCCTTCCTCTCCTCCCCCAGCAGATCACCACAGGCCTCCAAGACTCAACACACAAACACCACGTTCCCGAGAACAACGTCCACAAGCCAGCACCTCCTCGGAGACTCCCCCAGCCAGAAGATTTCCAGCATGTTTGTGCAGAGCTGGGAAAAGACAACACTGATTTCTTGCTGCAGTTCCACTGCACATGACCTTTTATTTTGGAGTACAGATCACAATGTCCCATTCCAACCCCAACCAGACGGAAAGGCAAACCACTGCAGCTACCGACTCTTTCAGCTAGGAGAGCAATCACAAACAATCCCATTCTCGCAGCAGAAAAACCACACTTATGGTGACAAGCTTAAATCTTTATCACTGGAAGGGAAACAATATAGGAATACTTTTAGCTGCTACGTCTATACCTTATTTACCTGTTTACACAGGCAATTACACAATCATTTCATCTCACCCATGAACACGCATTATCATGGGTGTCTATTACTTCAGCCAACTACTTCAGCAAGTAATTCCAGAAAACTCAATCTGACTAAGCCAGCACAGTATGGGAATCCATACTTATGCCAAAATATTAAAGAGGCTGGGCATACTTCTTCACCCTGTATTTTAAAACAAGACACACAGACACACTGCAGCACCTATGGCTGTCACTACTCACCAGAAAAAAAGCACCCATTTTGCACAAATATACACAGAAGAATTTTGTGACTTCCACTTCCGGATTAACCATGGGGAATCCCAAAACTAAACTCCTGCCTCCTGTACTGCTTAAGTATAGTCAACTTCTTATTTTAATCTTCTTACACATTTTCTTCTCTCCCTAGTAACTTATGTATCTATACCAAGGCAGATTGTATTCTTCGGAGAACCAATACTTATAAAAATTAATTCCTGGCTATAAAAAAACCTTTTTCCACATGACACCTTCGCATTTCTTAAAAAGCAATTCATAGGAAAACACCAAACCTAAAAAAAATCATTCCGTTCTCTAAGTCACTAAACAGTCACCAAGCAGCACAGACCTTTGTCATGAAAGCATGACAAATACTGAAGTCCAATCTGCTAGTATGGTTCATTAATAATATCACATATTCAAAAAACAGATGGTCTGATTCTCCTCCTATGAAAGAATTGATCCAAGAGTCCTTATAGAATCACAACTACAGAAGTTGAGTGTGTGCAATAAATCTATAATCTAGCCTATCAGCAATCCATCAGCCCAAAAAGAATAAATACACAGATATGCACAGAATTAACCATACTAATATATGGAAATAGTTTTCTTTTTTAAAATGTCCACAGTATGACTCATAAATTATCTGCAAAAGCAGGAAAAGTACTAATGCAATAGTTCCCTGTGCACTAGTTCCAGGCAAATAGCTATTTCTTTTCCATACAGAAGACCCATAATTAACTTTGCTATTCCGTCACACTGCTGCCACAACACCACAGACCTTATGTAAAGCATGCTATCGATTTCAACCACAAACAGCCCAGGCTTTGTCACTTCCGTGTCTGACAAAGATTAATTTTTAGTAATGACTGAGAAAGTGCAGAAGCACAAATAGAGGAGCAGACATGGTAGAAACAGAAGACTGCCACCATCATCCTTCCATCTCCAAAGGGATAGGAGAAACACGTATGAATGGATTCCCTAACAAACCAGGAAAAGTCTGTACATTTGCACAAACACACAGTAAATACAGATAAAATATCCTAATAAGAAATAAATCATGGCTGACAGGACTTATATTTATGCCTGCAAGACTCAAATCTGTTTGCTATAAAAATAATGAAAGTTCAGACCATGCATGGAAAACACTTTTCAGTTTAAGCAAAACAGAGAAGGTCTTTGATGATACATGAGATGAACGCCTACATGTACCTGAGTTTTATCCACATTCTGTATCTAACTGTGTGGACAACTGAAGCTGAAGTAACACGAATGTTGGTTTAGTGACTAATTCCTTTTTGGAGAGAGATGTTGCAAGCAGTCTTTTTTTCTGTCATAATCGAACTAAAATGAATTCTTGAGTCAAAAACGTACCCTGGGAGCCAGGCACTTTGTTCTGGCTAAGATTCCTGAATGAAAAGATTGTCTACATGCTCCTGTGACCATGCCTATTCAATGTTATATCTACATATTATGTAGGTGTATCATAAAAAAATACTCAAGTGTGTTGACCTCCAAACAGGAAGCTGACGTGCAAAGCTTTTCAACGTGGCCACACTGTTTTAACATGTGTACACTCATTAGGGAAGATCCAAGCCTGAATAACAAAAAGGGTTATTCTATTGTCAGTGAGAAACCTTTTTTAAATGAATTCATGGTGAAATGTCAAAAAGACCATTAATGCAAATCCATAGCAGTGTTTCAGTCTGTAAGAGTAACTTTTAGCTGGAACAGTAATAAAAATGCAGAGAAGAAAAAACATCTTATGTGTATTTCAAAACTCACCCACGTTTGGTGGTTTCCCGTAATTTACAGGTAATTCGGGAGGCCGGCCTCTGTGAAGAGCTGCAAATGCAGATCCTTTCCATAGCGTATGTCTGAAGTCTGTACCAACAAGATTAACAGCAGGTTAGTGAAACAATCAGCCAAACCGAGTCCAATGGACCTATTCTTCTTAGAATCAAGAGCATAAAGTACCACTCCCCGTATCCCAAAATAAGATCTGTCCTTTTTAATACTCTGTCAGAGATCTAACACTTAAAAGGAGACTGCTACTCTGATTTCTAGTTCCTAAGCAATATGACTGTAAAAGGTTTTAGCTAATTTTTGCTTCATTTTGGTGAGTAGGGAGTCTAAACTAATGGAAAGAAAAAAGAATGAAAAAAGTAGGTGCTCTTTGTATTGAGGCAGGACTGAATTTTGGTATGTTTTCAGTCCTTCTGCAATCCCAACACATACCGGACCTCTTCTTATGAACTGTGCAGTTAAGAATACACATACACACATGCATTTGCTCCGTGAAAGTGGGAGAAGTGAGATTTTTTTTTTTTTTCAATAAATTCGTTTTCCTGCAATTGATGGCAATATGCCCTCCTTTCACATTCTTCTCTGTACCCCACCCCCCCAAAAAACATTGTTTTTAAAATTAAGACTGTTTTCTTTAAAGACTCTCCAGCTATCTGCTGCCAACTGGCCTCAGAGAGCCTTCTCTCTAGAACAATAGTGATTTTTCTGAGGCTGTTCAGAGTGCCTCAGAAATCAGACCTGGACTTCTTCCATTTCTGGCCATCTGGAAGGAGATAAATGAGCTTCCACGATGAGTGAGTACTGATACAGAAGGACAGTGCCACAGATTGGTGGATCTGTGTATCACCCTTTAGATGTCTGAATATGAAGTGCACAGGCTTACATGACTCAGACTCCCGAGAGCACCTTCTGATTAAAACCCAAACTGTACCACAGAGTATTACAATGATACACATTAAAACCAGCACTCATACTTTCTAAAATAGATCAAAATAGCTATAGATACTAACGGTAAATGGAAACTTCATACTGATGCACAACTAGGGGGAGCGGAAATCCATATATGTCAACTTTGAAAAAGGTATGCTGTTTCATATTAGTGAGTGTGGTTTACACACCAAATGGCACAATGTCACAGCACTTTTTTTCTGGAGGGGAAAAAAAAAATCACCATAAATCTAGTAGAAATCTCTTTGCAATAGATTTATCACATGGCTTGAAAGCACTTCACCTTTCAGTGATTCATCTAGCCTCTGTCCCCTAACTCACCTAAGAAACTTCTGTTTCCCTGCATAAAAATGGTTATTTTCTCTCTACATTTTGTGGCTGTTTTCTTCTAAGATGCAAACCGAATGTGAAATGAAGGAATGCTACTTTGCAGGCCTCCCTGCAAACCTGAAATTCTCCACCCAACTATAGAAAAGCATAGGCAAAACAAGACTCAGTCCCAAAACTTTGCATAAGGAAATGTGTTTGCAAATGGCACATCCCTCCAGGTGATATCCAGTGGATCAGCAGAATGCTACAGTCCTTGTTAGCATCAGTGTGACTTCACAGGATGCAGTAAATTAAGTGCTCAACTGCCCCTGAAACAGGAAGGTCCTGCTCTCCCATCCCTGCTGCTCACCCAGAACCATGCCCCTGCTGCCTATGTCACCTCCAGCACTCTGATCCTTCCATGAGCTAAGTTAATTCACTACAACAGCAATAACAAATTTTGCAACATATTAGCTCTCTGAATCAGCACATCACAGGATCAAATAAGTTCTGGCTCCTACAGGGAAGAAGTGGCAGGGACACGGAGTGAGGAGGGAAGGGAGGAACCACTCTTTTCAATAGCAGATGGCTCTTAGATCTGTTTAGTTATAACACAAAACTATGCTCTCAGGATCATTATCTCAAACAGAGCAGTTTTTCAAAAGGAATACGACTGGTGCTCTATTCATGAAAGGAATGGAGGCTTTCATTCAGATTAACTTTCGGCAAGGACAAGCAGGAACTATCACTGAAGAATCAGTCTCACCTTCTCCCACCCTCTAAATACTGCCCCAAATGCCACCCTGCCCTTCAAGCTGACACATCTGCCTGCACAGCCAGGGAATTAAATAATGGAACAAATCAACCTGAAAAAATACCCCTGCAAAATATATAGACTGCTGTGTTATTTTAGACACAGGCATGTCTATACATATATGAAGAAAAAGGGCTATTTTTCAGACGGATCTCTAATCCAGTTCATCACATCATTTACACAAACATCAGTCCAACACACTGGGGAGGGCAGGTAGAGGAAGCAAGTAACAAGATCAGGCAACTGTAGGCAAGTGCTGCCTAAAACGGTATTTTCAACCAAAGAAACATAGCCAGCAATAACTGCATTTTAGCTAGACTGCAACAAAAAAGCTGACAAGCACAGGAGACAAACTAGGGTTCATGCAAAACACACACAGATACCACAATATGAATTGAAACAAAAAGGGGAAAATCCAATCACACATAAACTGAGGATCTTACCTTTTGCTGCTCTTAATAGAGACTGGCGCCCAACACCTAGCAAGGTCTGCACACCTAGGACACTCTGTGGGATCTCCTTGTCTAAAAGAGGTCCAAGTCTCTCACAGATCCTAAGAAGATAATCCGGAGGGATGTGTGCATTGACAGCCACCTAAACATATAAATAATGCAGATATTTGAAAATTGTTTTATTCTTGCTTCTACTGGTATTTCTTTCTTCGGCTCATATTCAAGTGTTAAAGTTACTGAAATCAAGTCTAAAGCCCCTGAAAATCCCCCAAAAATTAATTATACCAAAGATGTTTTTTAAAGTGACATGGAATGTTGAAAACGTCAGACCAAAAATTCCAGGTGATAGTAGCTACAGTTGTAATTTAGAATATCCCTTAATAACAAACAAAAATCCCTGAAACTCAAGAGTTCCTAATGCAGTACTCTGATCAAACAAAGCATTGCCTGGGGGCTTTTTTTAAGCCTTTTTTACCCTTCAGTTCATTCTTTTCACATACAGTATTTCTTGCTTAGCTGAAACATCCTTGCCAGACACTCATATTACTGTAAGAAGCATACGTGCTAAAGCCTAAAACCCCTGAATCTTAAAAGCAATACGCAGTCTCTGGTTTTTAGCTACTGGGAGTAAGTATCTTTAAGACCCATATGTGTAGGCTCCACTCCTAATCTGTCATCTCAAGAAAACATTCTTTTTTTTTCTCCTCTTGACAGAGACCGTTTTCTATGCAGAGACAATAGTTTTTCCGACAGTCTGTTCAAATAGCAAATAAATTCTGCCTCATTATCCAGAACATCCCGCACTTGCCTGACTTCTACTGTATTTACTAGCTGGCAGCACAAACTCCAGCATCAGAGCTTATTTAGCTCCTTCAACACACAGGACACACAGCTACATCCATCTCCTTTTTAAAAATCAACAGTGACAGGTCACTCAGCTCTTACATACCTGTGATTGAAGATGGAAAAATTGTTGTATTAGAACTATTTACAACTTTTGTATCTGTTGCAATATTATAAAGAAAAAGATCATTATAAACCAGGTTTTTTGTTTTACCGAGCCACAAACTAATGCCAAATAACACTAAAGCTGACTTGAAAGGGCCAGAACAGTGCTCATTGTAAAGAAATAATAGCAGGCATGTGCCTGTGCACACCCCTCTTTCCTACATGACCGCTTCAAACGCATCCAGTCAGAGGCCAATACCAGTGACAGGGCAGTTCCCTCCCGATGGGGTAGGACAAGTTGTTGTGCAGCTGCAGTGAGCCAGAACGATTCCCCAGTCTGGCTAAAACCATGACCAAGCTCCCCTCTGCATCAGCTCCGGTGCTCACCTACTGCAGAGGGAGTCGTTTCAGCTTCCCTGGCTAGGAACATTCATCCAACAAAGGAAAGAAAAGGTTTGCTGCCAGGTTTAGCAAAGCTGATTGGGATTCAGAGAAGTGTCAGAGTTGGTGGAAAGCAAGGAACAGGACCACTTCTTTCAACAGCAAAGCATCATCAGATAGGCCCAGGTATCATGCCTACCCAGACCCCAGGGATATGCTCAGCTCCTGCCCAAGCACACCGGGGAGGGAGCGGCACGCATCAGGAAGGAGGAAAGGGTAAGTACTACACTCAGACCTGCTGCCAAAACATTGTTCACTGAACTATGTCATCAAACAGATTATTACCGCATGTCATTGGGAAACTCTTCTCTCCCACGGGGCATCTGCAGTGGCGCTATGGGGCTCAGCACAATGAGTCATGTGTAGTATAATGTAATCACCTGCATCACAAGCAGGATCAACACCATCCTACAAATACGATTTTAAACAAACAAACAAAAAAAAGGCTTTCCTAATGATATTAATGATATATACAAATTATCATTTAACTAAACCCAACCAAAAACTCTTCCTATCTGAATGGAAACTCTTACTGAAGAGACACCGGCTTCTCCACACACCCTTTCAGTCACTGAGTGTTAAAGTTACAGCTCTGACCTTTTGATGGAAAATGAAGAATTGTATCTCTGAAGGAAAGATAAACCTGCTGACTGCATTGACATGGTCCCATTCCATGACTTTTCACACTGAGCATCAAGCAATTACCCCATGAATGCTCTTTTACATTGACTAGTTTCTCCAGCCATTCTAACTTTTTTTTTTCCCCAAATCATGGAGTTGCAAAATTGAACTGGTGCCTTCCCAATTGTACAGCCAGTGAGGTTTAATGTATAAGCATGAATTGTCTTTCATTGTAAATTGCATGATACAACAGAAGTCAAACTGAGATAAAAGGATTATCTGAACTTTTGTATTTGCCTATCATTCTTACTCATTCCTGAAGTATTATAAATGTGTTAATGCTACAAAATATTTCATTATCCTGCACTAGCCTCCCTTCAGTATGTAAGGGATCTGAAAGGACCTGAAACAAAAGCAGTTTAATAAAGCCTGAGTATGAAATTCTTTTTTACATCTCTGATAATCAGTAACATGTTTCTCAGTCAACAACTGCCAATTCTAGCAATTTATCAATTTTAAGATTAAAAGATTAAAAAGAAAAAGAGTAACCAATCCAGAAGCTGTGGAATTTTACATTTTAATTCTAGGGCAGAAAAAAAAAAAAAAAAAAAAAAAATCATACCACTCTCTCTGGAAATATAAAATTGCACAGAGTCCAAACCATTCTCCTAGTGTAATACAGCAAAATGCTTCCCTTTTCGCTCAGGAGCTTGATGGTCTTGAAGTATGGCCACTATTCTATGTCTAGAGAGAGGTGTTGAATTAAGCCTGACAGCAAATATCCTTCTATGGAGACAGCACAAGTTATTCAACAAGCAATCCTGATTAACTCCGTACATCTACTCGGAAATGGAATGGGACTTTGCTGCTTAAAGATCCACAGATTAAGCCACAGTTTTATAAAGAATAGTAAAGAGAGCGAACACCAACACATGTGCGCACCGGCCAACACTCAAAGATGAAAGATGGATGTGCCAGACTCACGGAGCATGTGGCAGTTATCTGCACACGCCTGGCGGTAATTTGCCTGGGACATCCAGACGTTAAGCAGCTCAGGATACCAGACATCTGCTTGATCACTGCCCAGACCAGAAAAGTTGGCAAATCCATCATGGAGCCAGAGTTAAATCAGCACAAGCGAGCTGCTGAAGCATCTAGATTTTAGTGTACATTTTTATTTGACTGTAAACTTTTCTAAGCGGCATTTAATGTGGAGCATACTGCACAGATAAGGCACATACCAAAGTGACCGTTCACTTTATTAAGTGAACGCCCTGCTCATCAGATTTGCCACCTGTAATCAGAACCATGCCATACTACAGAAGAAAGGCTGTACTGCACACCTTTTGCTGAATATTTTCATGTTTCTGCAAGTGAGAACAGCCCAAATAAGTGGCCCTTAATCTGAATATTATCACTGTTGTTATTACCAAACAGCTACATAGCCAGGCAGCAATAGCAGCAAATTCTCTTGGTGATTTTTTTTTCCATAACAACTTCCAGATAAAATGCTTAAACCACAGCCCAGAGAAAAACAAGTGATTCTATTTTCAGGTTCCCAAAACAACTTGAAACAAAAATCCTTCCTTTCACCTCTGCATGAGATAGCTGTAAATGGATTTTACATATCTTTCCAAAACATGAAGCTGCAAACACACAGCTGAGAAAAACAAAGTCTCCCAAACCTGATTTTCATTAAACAAAGGATGGAAAAAGGCAAAGCTTAGCATCACTTACAGCCACACCTCTTAGTGTACGCTAGTCCAAACCCCATACGGCAAAATTAAGCAACAGCAATGATATTATCACCTCGTCAAATATATTAGAAAATATTTTAGAAAATAATTAGAAAATGAGGGGAAAAAAATAAAGACGAGTAATACAGGCCAAAATCACGCTTAAGAACAGCTTTTAAAAGAGCATGTTAAAACAATGCAGAAGAGCTGAAAACGTTCTAAGTGGGAGCAAGTTCTGCACGCTGGGGTAAATTATAAAGAGAAAAATGTTTTGTTGCCATAAGATATGTAAGAACCCATAAAGGTTAAAATGTAAGAGCACAAGAATACCACAGGACCACAAAAGAGTTCTCTGACGCAGTAACCATACAGGTCTTATGGATCTAAAAACTTTCAAGAATTGGGTAAAGTGAATCCATTCTTGAAAAAAAAAAAAAAAAAAAATCTACGTAAACAACCACATGTGAATGTAACACAGTCATGACTGCTTGAACCAGTATACAAATATAAGTGGCTATAGAGATAAGCAGCTGCAAGTAAAGAACTATTAGTGAAGTCACACCAGGGGTACGAGAAAATGCTTCTGTTGTTGGAAGCATTACCCTGTAATCTCAAAGTTGACTGAGCAAAGGGCCCTCACTGGACAGCTAAGAAGACAGGCAAGAAGCTTGTTGATCCCTGAAACAAATAAACAAAATCCCCTGGCATGACTGCTGACAATTTCTCCTCCAAGGAAGGCTTCAATAAACAGGAAACAAACAAACAAAAAAAGACTCTTTGTGATTACTACTTATAATAAGATGTCTGTCTTCCCAGGGATCAGAACGAGATAGCTCTGAAACATGTCTTTTGGGGAGCCCAGTGAAACATTGCTTCAAAGCACAGACTACATTTGACACAAGGGCCGCATAAGGGAAGCAACGCAGGCAGCAACGCAGACCTTTGGAGGCTCCCTCATACCCAGTCCCCTGTGGGCAGGCAGTTGTGCATCAACAGCAGAATTCTAACCACTAGGCACTTGTATGACACTTCTCTCATTTGCCAAAATAACAATCAATCAAGAATCAATTGTCAACTGTATCAAAAAACAGCAGAGGAGACCAAGAGGACCAAGGCAGCTGAGCAAGCAGGAAATTACTCAAGACCTCAAATATGGAATCTCAGCAAAAGGAAGCTCAGATACTGGACTTGCACAAGATGCCAACAGTATGCAAATACACATTAATTTTAAAAGCCATTATCCACTCGCTTTCCTCAGAGAGAATGGGGCTGGAAGTACCACACTACCAGATGACATTTTCCTGAGGTGACAAAACCATAACATCTCTCAGATGCTAATGCTGGGATTGGCAGTATCTATAAATAGCAGCACCTCAGACTCATAGCCAGTTTTAAGTCAATGCAGATGGGCGAGGCAGAAACTCAAAGCCAAATCCCATAAGCTGTTCCATACCAGCACAGCCGTTCATGGATGCAAATTCTCCACTGTGCAGCAATAGCTGATTTTCTGTTTTTCCTGAAACTATACATACCTTCATCACAAAGACCAAAATGGGCTGAGCCAGAAGAGACAGCCCATCAGAAAGTTGTTGAAAACCAGACCAGAGCTAGTCATCTTTATCAGGAATAAACAAAGATAATTTCAAACAGCAGTCCACAGGAGACTTCAGATAATCTGAGTCGGTTCAGCTTGACTCGTCTGTAGAATAGCTGACTCCACACTGAACTGCTATGGCTAATTTAAAATAGGAATACTAATTGCATACAAATTTTACATACTTCTGGCCTTCATAAAGAGAGCAAGGACCCTCCCCTTTACAAACACGTTTCCTGTCTCAAGTCCACCAGCAGCAAATAACACCTGGATGATTACCTAGACAGTCAGACACATGTTGCACATAAAAAGTACTCCAAAGTGGAAACAAGCAGAAAAGACAAAGGGAAAACAAATGCACGCAAGCTAGTATTCTCTGTGTGGTTTTGCTCTCTATGTACAATTCTTATTAGTGTGTCTTAAATTACTCTTCTGCCTTGTGGTACTTGGCATTTAAAGTAAACGACCCAGTTGAAATGAAAAAGAAATCTCAACAGAGAGTTTTCAGATCTTGACTAAAAGCTCGAGTGAATTAGAAGTAAACATTCTCTAGATAAATCACCTAGTAGGTGATTTGGCTGTTATACCTTTATTGTTTCCACAAGCCCAAAGAGCAACAACAACATACTCAATGGCAAGAGTATCGGCATATTTTCTGAAAAATACCAACGCTAACCTGAACAGTCAAACTGAGAATGGAAAACAAAGTTGAAACATCAGCAACCAAAACAGTAAATACCTTGTCAGATTTGCCAAAGCAGAATATTGGGCAAGCAAACAAAAAAAATCAGACTTCTCTGCATTTGCAAACTCTCATCGGGTTCGATTATCTCAGGCCTGCCTGACCAGTGTAATTGCAACATGAAGCAGAGATTGTCACTGAATTTGGTTTTCTGTCGGTAAGTGTTCAAAAAGGAGAAACTGGTAGAAAAAACTTTCCTCCAACTGAGAGCATCTCTAATTTATTTTTAGTCCATTATGTGACTGAGATAATTAACATGAAGGTCAGAATTATTTGGGTTCTTCTCAACCCTGGCTTTGTTCTGAATGTGACATTCAGACATCCAGTTAGCCCTGAAGTCAAGTAGTTCAGGTTAATATACAATCATATGCAACCCAAGGTCCAAATTCCAAATACCTCAGAGACCCTAAGCAATGAGGGGAAAAAAGGCCTTTCTTCAACATCCTCAACAGTGAAAGCTTCAGCCTGAGGATTAGTAGAGAGAAGCTCAGTTCATCCTACCAAGCATCAACCTGTCTCGCTGTAATGATCCATTTATAGTCCTGTTCCTTAGCGTAAATCATGATAAACAGTTAAGTAATACTAGATAAAAAGGCAAACTGAAAGCATTGATTACTGTTGATTAGTTTAAGATAGGGGGAAAAAAATATACTTATTTATTATAATTTTATAAAGCAAGAAGCAATTTCCCATTAATTCCAAGCCTCACTTTACACTGGTTTGTTTCCCGATTCTGAAATTTTAAAAAGGTCATGGCTTCAACAATGCCATCTAATACACAAAAAGGTTTTAAGGCATTTTAATTTGTGGCCCATAGAATGAAAGGAAAAAATGTATACATTAATGTAACTGATTAAGCAAAACCAGTATGTCTGAAATCAGACTTCATCCTGCCACTGTTAACATTCCTCTCAGGTACCTGGTGCAGTCACAAGCTACACCTGAAACAGCGTATAGTTAGATTTCAGGTTCTCTAGGAAGACCATACAGCATTAAAATGTATTGAATGCAGTACTTATTCCGTGTCTGTTCACTCAATATACAGTCCCAGAATTATCCACAAGAGGTATGATGAAGCATAAAATTAATCTTAAATTCTTAATAGACTTTGGAAAGGGAAAGCCGGCAGATACAAACATCTCATCTCAATGCAAGGAGCTCTCCCATTTGCATCTGAGCTTCCTCAATATTTCTAAAGTGGAAAACTAACTCTTGAGCAAGTTACAAGGCAGTTTGAGCAACAGTCATGCCAAAACCTCACAACACCATTGCACTGTGCAAGATGGGAAAAGCAAGAATGCACTTTCAATTCCTTCCAGGTGAGGAGACAGTGATGATCACACATATGCAGTCTATCAATATTATAAAAGCTGTAAGTTTACAGCATTCCAACTGCAAAGTGCGAAATCAGCACCACACATTATTACCCAGAGCTCCAGGAAAAAAAAAAAAAAGGCCATTTGCACCCTTCGGAAACAAACTGAAATGTCTTTTCAGCTTTGCTGCTTTCACGCAGAGGCCAGTACCACCACGTACCTACAGCCGGCCCCTCGGCAGCGCAGAGGGGAGCTGACCTTCCTCAATGACAGATACTCGTATGGCTTGTACCCAGCAAAAGTAGCCACTCCGTATATTTCATAGGCATTTCATAGCTTCAACATTACACTTCCTAAAAATCCCATTATTCCGCCCCCCCCCCCCCCCCCCCAGCAGGCCCAGCCGCCCCGGTGCGGCGCAGGGCTGCAGCACCGGCTGCCGCCGCAGGCCGGGAATCCCTGAGCTCTGCCCGGCGACGGGCCCGGCGGCACGTCCACAGATCACCCCCCGCCGCCCCCCGACCCCCCCAGCCCACGGGCCGCTGTGTTTTGGCCACGCTGACACTTCCCCCCGGCGCGGGGGGGGGGGACGAGGCCCTGCCAGCCCCGCGGCCCTGCCAGCCCCGCTCGCCGGCAGCGCGGGGAGGGGGGGGGTGGGGGGGTGGAGGGTCGGGGGGGGGGGGGAGTCTGTTAAACCGGCGGGGGCACCGGGGCGCCCTGCCGCCGGGCTGCCAGAACCCGGCCGAAGCATGCCGAGCGGGGGAGGCCCGGCGGCCCGCGGGGGAGCCGCCCCCGAGGTGCCGAGAAGCGGCGGCCGGCGAGCGGCGGGCAGGGCGGCCGAGGGGGACACACACGCCACCCGCGACCCCCGCCCCGGCCCGCCCTCCCTGCCAGTTCCTCCGCGGCCCCGCAGCCAATCAGCTGCCGCCTTCTATCGCCTCTCGCCGTTCTCCGGCTTGTAATACGCGGCGCCATTCGCCGGGCTGGGCCCCGGTACGTGCCCTCAGATAACCCTCCCGGCCCCACAATAGCGCGTCGCAGTCAGTCAGCACCAAGCAGCCCCCGCCGCCGCCCCGGTGTCTCCCCCGGCCCGGCCCGGCCGCGCCTCCCCTTCCCTCCGTACCCCCCGCGGCCCGGCGGCAGCCGCGGCCTCAGCGGGGCGCAGCCCCGGGGGTGGGGGGGCCACACAGGACGGGGAGCGGCGCCCGGGAAGGCGGCGGCGGCGGGGGGGGGAACTTGTCGGGGAAGTCGGGAGTGAAACTTGGCTCACCAGGTCCTCGAAGCTCCGGCGGTGCTCCTTGCCCTGCCAGTCCAGGCGCCGGGGGATCAGCTGCGGAAGGGAGAGACGGGGAGGGGGAGGAGGGACGGGGACGAAGGCGGCCGTCAGACCCCGGCCGGCCCCGCGCGGAGCGACCCCTCCCCGGGCGAGCGAGGGGAGCCCCCGCCGGTGCCAGCCCGCCCCGGGGAGGAGCCCCCTCCGCCGCTGTCCCCGCAGTGGGGGCACCCGCCGCCTCCCGTAGGGTCTCCGGATCCCCGGGAGGAGGTGGGCTGGGTTAGACGGGGCAGGGCAACCCCCGACCCCCCGCCCGTCCCCGTCCCGAGGGCTTCCCCCGTCCTGCCGGGGCAGGCGCCTTACCTGGTGCTCCTCCAGCTCCTCCACCAGCACCTGGGGACAGACGGACAGACGGACACACACACACACAAAGGACGTGAGTCCGGCGCCCGCAGCGCGGCGGCTCCGCCGCCCTCCTGCCCCGGCCCGTCCCCGTCCCGTCCCCGCCCGCCCCGGCGCGGCCGGAGCCCCCGGCTCCCCGCTCACCTGGGCGGATTTCTTGCAGGGTCCGGACTGCAGGAACCGGGCGATCAGGTAGTAGAGCTCTGCGGAGGGGCAGAAGGGGAGGGGGGGGAAGGAGAAGGGGACACGGTTACAGCGAGGAGGGGGAGGCGGGGGGGGGAAAGTCCGGCGGGGCGGAGGGCAGCCCCCGCCGCCAGCGATACCCACCGGCTTCGAGCTGGGTCGGGGCGGCCGCCGTCGCCATCCTCCTCAGGAGGCCCGAGGGGGAGGGGGAGGTGGCGGATCGCGCCCCGGGGAGACGCCGCTCCTACTGCGGCCGAGCCCCCATGGAGGAGCCCCGCTGCCCGTGCGCGGCGCTGGCCGCCGTCCGGCTCCCGCCGGGGCTCATCGCCTCGCCGTTCGCCCCATGGATATCCCGGCCCGAGCGGCAGCCGCCGAGCGGGGTGCAGCGCGCGCCGCCGGCCGCACGGGGGCGGTGCGCGGCTTCGCGCGAGGGGAAGCGGCGCCGGGCGGCGGCGGCGGCGGGGCGGAAGCGCCGGGCCGGAAAAGGGGGGGGGGGGGGGGAACGGTGACGTGCCGGGGGCGGTGCTCGCGCGGCAGGCGGCACTTCCGGGCGGCGCCGGTGGCGGCGGTGGGGCCCGGCCGCCGCCCCGCCGAGACGGAACGGGGCGAGCCCGGCTGCCCTCCCGCCTCCTGCCCGCCAGCGGCACCGGCGCGGGGGCCCGCGGAGGCCCCGGGAGATGATCAGTTTTTCAGAGAAAACGCAGGGCACCGGGAGGCTTTCGCTTCGTGTCAGGCGGGCGGTGGCACGGAGCCCACGCGTGTTTGAGGGGGGAAGGTGAAGGCGGAGAGCTGGCAGCCGCCACGCAGCCGGCGAGAACGGGCCGAGTGTGGGAAGAGGCCTGAGGAGGCGTTGCGGGGGTGGGACCGCTGCCTGGTGAGGCTCAGCGGACACAGAAAAGTACATTTTTATTCGGCTGTGCTCACGGAGCCGTTTAGCCCACCGAAAACAAAGGTGCTCTGGACTAAAGAGCTGGGAAACCTGGCGTTGGGCAGCTCGAGAAGTGCCTCGACGTTTGGAGAGGTGGTGTGGGTCCGTCCTCACCCCGAGGGGCTTGGGCCTGGGCCTGGGCCTGGGCGTCTGGTGGCTTCAGGAGCCAGAGTAAAATTGTTCGACCTCAGTGTCCTGGAAATGAAAATATGATCAATACAGCACCCATTCAACAACAACAAAAAAAAGGGTTCAGTATCAGTCACTGCAGATACTCGAGGGAAACTGAGTATTTTTTTCCATGGGAAGCATCCTGTCAAAGCTCCAGAAATTTATGTCACTTTAGCAATAAGTTACTAAAACATATTAAGTGAATTGACAGCATTCTCTTGTGTAAAATTGTGTTTTGCCACCATAAATACCTGACAATTGGTATTAGAAATCCCTGAGCCTTGGCAGTGTAACAATTGCTGTCATAACTGGAAAATAAAAAGACAACTCATCTTCATGCTTTGAATACCAAGAGCTGAATCATCGTAAATCGATGCCGTTGGAGCATTAAGAATAAATTAGTTTTTAGCATATATTTATAGCATCTACTCATGACTCGGCTTTCTGCGAAGTGCTGTTTTTGAGTTCCTGCAGTTACCATCAGGATGCGGTCCTTCCTGCTGGCAGCCTCTTCTCGGGATGCTTCAAGGTACCGGACCAAGTGCCAGTAGCTTCTCTGGAGAAGGAGTCAGGGACTTGACATTCAGCTGCTCCCCACAACTCCCCTGTATTCACCTACACCTTCATACGGCCGTGGCAGTTGTTTACTTTGTGCCAGGAGCTCAGATTAACTGAATGATGTGTAGACCTCTAGTCTTCATCCTCTGAAGTTCTCAATGAGAGTTTAAATACTAAAAAAATCACTCACTTGGTAGCTCTTGGAATCCTTTCTCAAGGCAGGTTCATTGATCAGCTCATCCCTAGCAGAGACGCGAGGTGCCACCGTACCAAGCTGCAAACTCCAGTTCTAGTGGCTTTTCGATAGTAACAACTCTCCCACCTTTCCAGCCTTGCACTGGAGTCTCTGAAGTTACAACACGGGTGCTTCCTGTGAGAGATACAGTGTAAAGCTGCAGTTCTCAAAATAAATTACCAGCTAGGAAAAGAGCATGCAGAGATTCACTATCCTTAGAGGTAATGTTTCTCCCACCTGTCTTCAGAACTGAGAATTGCAAGCTCATCGTTTTATGCATGATGGGAATGCAAAGAAAAAAACACAGATCTTTTCTAATATGCCCTGAAAGTACATCTCAGTCTTTCTGAGCTAAATAGAATTCTATGTCAAGAGAAAATACAGCACCGTAAATATTGTATAGCACTATGTCCTGGTGTGTTCCAGTGCTAACGGTTACCTAATACAGTTCCTTATTAATATGGTGTGTTTCCTTGGCACCTTTTGGTTGGTGCCTTACTGAATCTACTCATGATTTGTTTTTATTTGAGCTTGGGGGTGGCAACACGTGAAGCTGCACCACCACAATAGGCGGGAGTATTATTTTAGGGCCTATCTAGAGCCGATGGGAATTTCTACAGTCACTAAAATGGAGTCTCAAATGGAAAGCCTGGGTTAGAAAATGCTCCCAAAGTAGGCTCATCCATCCCTGGCTTGTGTCCTTCCCATTCCATTCCTGTGTTCCTTCCACCATTCCAGCTGGAAGCCTTACTACCCGCTGTTTGCCTCAGTGCTTATAAATACACCACCTCGCAGCTCCACGCTCGGGAGGGCTCCCTGTTGCACCCTCATCGCGGATCAGGTGGATTCAGGCGTCGACAAGAAAGGAGCGTGTTAGTAATGACCCAGCTATTTGTTACGTGTGTGTTGCAGAGGGCAGGTACTCTGGCTGCAGCGTCCTGCGTTCGGGTCGAGAACAAACAGAGCATTAGTCATGCCCCAAACAGCCGTTGTGTAACTCTTCCCTTGGCCAGGCTCCGCCGACGCGATCCTGGCTGTGGTTTACTGCTCTGCAGCGACTCCCAAGCCTCTTCCCATGCTGCTGGTTCCCTGGCACCTCAGCTTCCTAGCGCTAACATTTTCCCAGTTGCTTTATTATTTCCTAGGGCTGCTGCAAGGACTGATCGATACCTCTTCCCACTTCTCCCGGGTTTTCCCCTTAAGGAGTCATCTGTCTGGTGAGTAATGCCCGTCCTCAAGCGTAGCTTTCCTTCCCTGGGCACTCCCCTTTCACAGCATGCTGCAGCCACACGCGGATCTTGCAGCTCCGTGACTCATCTCTTTCTGGATCCTCTGCATCCAAGAAGCAGCATGCTGGGGGATGATAGTAAATCTCCTAGTGAAAGCAAGATTTTATGGTTGTGCTTATTCATCATTCTCCAAAGCAGAGCTCTATCTTGTACATGCCAACAGAAGCAGGGGCACTGAGTAGTGAAGAACGTACTAACTGGCGTGGTAATCTTCCCTAATGAACAGCAGAGGTATTCAGAAGCAGAGATGTTTTAAGGAAGTTGCTAGATTGTAACAGTTTCTTTGGATACTGCTTTTTAAAAAATAAATAAAAATGAGAGCCTATAAAGGATTTTAGTAGTAGAAACCAGTAATATTCAAATACCTATCACTTCCACTGGTTTGATATTGTAGAGACCTCTGAGCACTTAACAGTAAGCCATTTTTCAGCCATTTTTCAGCTTTTTGCCTCTTTCTGGTCACGCGAGGGCTGCACTAGTGCTTGCACTCAGGACACTTTTCATACCTTGGTCACTGACAGCCTGTACCTCCTCTGCAAAATGGTCCATCACATCCTATCACTGTAGTTGAGAGTAAATGCAAGCCAGCAGAGTTTACTCCTGTTTAATTTGACTACAAAATTAAATGAGTGTCCCCACAGTCAGCTTGTAACACTAGGTAAATGTGTCTCTCTCTTATTTTATTTATCACTATAGTGTCCTGATGAGTGAAATTCTGACTTTGCTTTAACATAATGTGAAAACATGATTGCAATTTTGTACAACCAGACTGAAATGCACAGTTGCAAATTAAAAAAAAAAAAAAAAAAAAGGTTTAGAGTGGAATTGTGCAGGTGTGCTGGATTGTACTTGGATTGTACCTTCCGGTGAATGTAGATGGGAATGTGTGTTTCTGGATCCATTTGGATTTAAATGCTAGAGCACATTAACCATTTTCAGCTTTTTTTTTTTTTTTTTTTTTTTTCAGTATTTTCCATGCACATTTCTATGTACGTCCTGCTTATCTTGGGCCTTCCACATGCAGCTAAATGGTAAACAAGGATAGTAATACTTGCAGAAATTGTATCCAAGGTTTAACTGGTACAAAACCAAGTGCTATTTAGGAAGAACTTGGGAATTGGTGCCTTGTACTATGCAGTTGTAAGCAAATATGGGTATTGAGAAGTCAAGGCTTACTTCAAGATGATCTCTAAATGCAGCAACCTCAAAATTAAATTTTGGTATAGTAGCTTATTTATTCAAAAAAAAAAAAATGAGGTGCAAAATAATTAGCAGCAATTGCAGTTGCAGGTTTTGCATGAGTGCAGAGGTCCTGCATGCAAATCAACATCCTGTCTCGCGGGACAAGTCTCAAAATTTCCACTCCCTCATAAAGTTTTCTCCTTTGATAAGAGCTCTTAAATAATAATAATTAAATAGCTGTTAGATATTATACAAGATCGGCTCTAGGTTTTTTGCTATTTTTAAAAATTTATTATTTCATTTCCATGCTGCATCATACCAATCTTTCCTCTAGATGGTGCCCGATACCCAAGAGTTGGGTGTAATACTATCCCATATGAAAGGCTATTGAGAAATAGTCAGGACGCCACTCTCCTTTGTTTCTAAATTCTGTCTTATAATAGTTCATCTAAGTTGATAGATTACTTGTTCTGCATGATATAAATAAGGTGTTTCTTCCTCTTGAGAATCTTAAAATCCATTCACTAGAGCCTAAAATGCCACCTGCCTGGAACAGTATCATCTGTTACTCCGTGGACCGATCCATATCTCATATTACTTATGGCAGCCATTAACTGGTGTTAGCTGTTGGTCGGCTAGACGGTATGTACATCACTGCTGCAATTGTGGGAGCTTATTATTTGCCTAGTTTTCAAATAAATGAATTCTCTCTGAATATTATATAAACATTTGTCTGTGTCTCTATTTACATAGAAATGCAAAATTTCAAATACGGATGAAATGCATGTGCAGATGCACAACAGTGATCTGTGTACCTGTGTGCTCACAGCTCTGTAAGGGGAAGGACCAGGTAAATAATGTCAGCATTCCAGTATATACTCAGCATCACTGAATTTCAACATTATACCTGACGGTGCTTGTAACCCTGTGAGTTTTACAAGCAGGAAAATTACAATTAGTTGTGACAAGGTAGTTTTTGTTCATGGTGCTACAATTGCGGTTGGCTACATCCCTGTCTAAGGGCCCAATTCTGACCCTGTGTCCCCAGGAGCCCCCTGTCCCCAACATCTCCAGCTGCCTGGCACAGCCCTTCTCACGAGATGGCCCCGGCCATGCCAGTCGGGGGGGGTCACAATGCACAAGGGGGCTCTTGCCCCAGAAATACCACCGTATTTTCACCGTTTGAATCTTGCTAAATTTTTGAAAGTAATCCTTTGATGTTTGGTTTGTGATCTGGGGGGGTTTTAGGGCCCAATCCTCCATTTTTGGAATTCTGGAAGCACCTGGGAGCCTCACAGGATGGACACACATTGTTCGACTGCTACTGGGAGTTCATCACCTCTCTACCCTCGTAGCTGGACATGCTAATTTTACTGGAACTCCTTCAGCTAAATACATCATTTAAATAGAATTATGTCCCCTTGTATCCCATACTCTTTCTCTGTTAAGTTGTGAGGATTTTTGTATGTTTAATTTCTGTTTGTCAGTTTTACAAAAACATTAGCTATTTTTGTGGAGGAGCATGCAGGGTTCACAGTATTTAAAAATGCTGTTTTTATTGAAATAAAAATGTTTAAAAATGGTGTGAGGTATTTTGTGTATTTATTATTACCCATAACATGTAGGCATTGTAAATAGGCTCATTAATACTTTTTAAATACAGTCTTATAAAAAATAGTAATTAAATATGAATTACTGCATGGGGTGATGGATTAGAAAACTGTCTTGTCTAAGTTTCCCCACAGGAGTGTGAGATTATAATGAACTTTCTAAGTTGCTAATAAAACTAATGCTCCAGTTTGATGATGAGGAAAAAGAAATGGGCTCTGAGAGTCACACAGTAATACCAAGATGACAAGACGAAAACCAAATCAAGGAGCAGCCATCCCCCTTCACCATGCTCTTTATGTACTCCCGTCATATTGTCTTTCGGGCGACTCTTCCAAATAAGAAAGCCCTACTCTATTTAACCCCACAAGGTGATTTTTGCAGACCACTACTCCCTCCCCTTGTGTTTTTCCACCTTTTCTGGGCATCATATATCTTGTGAAGAGAAGACTGAAACACATGGGCACTCCACGGGCTCATACAATAACAGAACAACGTTTGTTTTTATTTGATCTCCATGTCCTCCCTAATAATTCCTTATGGTCTGTTCACCTTCCAACTGCCTCTGAGCACTGATCCTAGCTCTATGAAAATGTCAGCACAGTGATGCTGAGATCTCCTCAGGGTCAGAGCCATTTCCTATGTGTTTGTAGTGATTTGCATGATTTTGCACCCCTCAAAGTTTAGTTTTATTTGTCATTCCAGTCCTTAAATCTCAGGCCTAACCTAGACAAGGGGTTTCAAACCAGGGTTAAGTAGTCTGACAATTTCATATTTGAGCACTTCTCTTTCAAGATGCTGTCTCATATAGGAATTTTGTTCCTGTTATTTTCATTTATTCAGTTTAAAGCCTCTTCTAGTGATCTTCAGTTTGATATGCCTTCTACGTCTTATACTTCATAAATAAAGGCTTGAATGTGGAAACCTCCATAAATTCCTCTGCAGTAAACAGTAACCCACATATTTAGTTCTCATACTGACATCATTTAGTGGACGTATACATTCTCCTGTAGCCTTTCAGCTTCTTATCTTTGGGAAAAGCCCTCTGATATCCTCAAGAGTTCAGTTTTCAGAATCTCCCGTTTTTTAAATTTTTGGGCCTTAACTTATTAGGGCTTGAGATATAGCCAGCTAGAATATGTTTTTTCTGTCATCTCCATTTAGAAGGTCCATTAAAGCTTTTCTTGATAGAAGGACTAATTTAATTTGATCTCTGGTAAAGTGTTTTTCAACACCTTTTGGCTGTTCCCTTTCATTTCTTATACACCAATAAAAGAGTTTTTCTTTAGAGTTTGTGAAATCCCCAAGTTCTGTGTGGCTGCGGGCTGAGCTGGTATCTCATGGAAAATAACACGCAGAGCCAGTAGATGTGAGGTGAAGCTGTGAAGGAAAATGATGGCCATAAAGACAGAATGCTCTTATCAGTCTTTATTTTCCCGAGGTGTTTCATTCTTATCGCTGGATTATAATGAGATAAGCATGGAAGGCAATTGCACAGAGTGTAGAGGTGAAAAAAAAGCATCTCCTGTTTATTCTCTGCATTCTCCATTAAGTCTAAAGGATCCTGCCATTTTCCTGTTGAGGATCCTCTTCTCTCCATGTGTTTTCTGGTGTCTCTCTGGACACCTTTCTCTTTACTGCTTCTTTGGCAGTCTAATAGATCTCAGCCTCTTAACTTTTTATTTTTTTTTTTTTTTTTCCCTTCCTTGCTCATTTCTCCTGTTTGGGTAACTTAGTTGACTGCAGGTAACCTCTTTCAGATCTTGACCTTTCTTCCAAACTGTTCTTCCCACCTTGACTGTGTTGCCACTGCCTATCAACCATACCAGCCCCCCATGCCCTTGTATTTGTGCTTTTTGTCTTTTCTGCAGCTCTTTCCAAGATGCTTCTAGAACAGTCAAGGAGCATTTCTTTGGGAGATACAGTGTACCCTTAAATGTGACATCAAAAAAGCCCATCAGGAGCGATGCTAACCTTCTTGGCACAGGTTTATATTCGCTGCTGGCTGAATGCATCAGGTTGGAGCAGACATCAGAGAAATTCTGGGAGCTGAGCACCAGCGGAGGAATTTAAGGAGAACAGAGGCTCATGAGATGCATCAATGTTCTTTAAAGAGTCTCGTGTTATCTTTCTTATGAGCATGTGGAAAAACAGCCCACTCTGCAGCACACCCTCCCTGTCAGAAGAAGAAAGCAACAGGACACAAACTCTAGCTGGAACTTTCCCCCTGCGGCACTTCCATCCCGGCCACCCCGAGGACAAGCGGCGTGAGCCGCGGTGGTGCTGGGGAGCCAGGAGGACCCGTCCTGCATCGGCTCCGTCCCGGGGGGACGCAAGCAGCCCCGAGCTGGGGACTTTGCTTTGTTCCCTGCAGCCCCACCCGCCGCCTCAGCCAAAAATGAGATTTTTCACCAACTGTGAAAGTCTCCTGCTTGTGGTTTGATATTAATTTTGGCAGTTTGCAGCCAGACTCTGAGCTACCTTTTCCAGGAATCAGTATGGCAGCACTGAGGTCCTGCCCAATCTGGGGTGACAGAGTTTGTTTCATTTGACAATATGGGTTTAATGAACAGGCTGCCCAGCACTGGGAACCATTTCCCTCAAATAGCTGCAAAATAAATGATGGGACATTTTCCAGTGCAATGCTGCAACCACCCAAAATACCACTATAAAATTCACAGACGCAAACCAGAGTGACTGCATTAAGCAAGGCTTAGGGGGATTATCGAATTAAATTGGTTGCCCCTTCCACCCTTCCCCCAGTCAAAGACATTAGAAATCTAAATACAAAAAAGGGTGTTAAACAACACAATGGGCTTCGTTAAAACCTATAAAAGCAAAGGAACTCATTGTTAAGGCTGTTGCTTTATTCTAGACTGCTATTGTGTTTAGGCACAGCGTTGTGTTTCGGAGGGTTTTCTATCAGGGAGCGGCAGAGCAGTGGGTAATCTTAGGAACCAGAGAAACTGCGGCGGCTCTAATGCTCCTGGAATGGCTCTGCCTCGGTAATTCCCCCTGCGAAAGAGAAATGCAACATAACCACGCACAGCGCAGGACTGCTGCCTCATGCCTCCGCCACCGAATCCTGCCCGGCTCTGGCACTCCCCATTTACTGCCCGCGATTCCCGTCTCCGTCCTTTTCCCGGGGACAGCAGCATCACGAGCTTCCTGCTCGTCTCGGGGAGAGTCTGTGCAATGAAGGCTTTGCTTTAATCTGTGCTGGATTTATCCAGATGCATCAATCTCTGGAAGGCTTACGTGGGTCTTCTACGTGCACACAGCCTTGCTTTGTTAATCTGGAAACGGTTTATTTAAAATTTTGAAAAAGGAGAAAAGAAACCCTGTAAAACTGCTTTGCTTGAACTGCTTTTGACTGTGCAGTGGAACAAGCGCCCAGGCTCTCAGTCATGTATATTGTCTGGCACCCATGTAATAGGTTTTAAGCTAATATGTGGCACTCTGTGCCTGCTTTAATTAGATGAATTATAGGAAAAAAAACATTTCCAATTTAAATGTAAATACTTTAATATCTTAGTGACACAATTTGTTTAAATATTTAATATATAAATATATAAAATTAAATATTAACTTCCAATACAGTTACAGAACTTGTTTCCCCCAAATGACCACAGCAATGTTTCCTTACCAGGAAATACCTTTTCTTTGCATCTTGCTTAATGTCACTACAGGCCCTCGTACATAAAGTCTTTATTTTAGTACAGTTCTCTTAGTAATGAAATAAATTCATTAGGCTTGGGGTAAAGAAATGAGATATCTGTGTAGCAACAAATAGGATTTACAGAGATTTTAAGGTCTTTGGGGCAAACAGGAGTTTGTTCTTGCCCCCGTCAGAGCCTGGAAGAGGACCTCTGAGCACAGCAGCACCACAGCCAGATGAGTGGTGTTAATAAGTGCTAATTAGTAAAGCCACCAGGTTATCTTTGACCTTCTCAAAGTCTTATTGCAAGGGCTGGGAGAGAAAGATATAAGAAGTGAGCAGAGGAATATTTTTTTAGTCCGAGCTTTGTCCTGGCCCTGGCCACCCTTGCCCCGTGCAGCTCTCCCCTCTGACTGCCCAGGGTCCCGTGCCCGAGCAGAGAGCAGTGATGCTTCGTCGTGCAGATTGGAGCTGAAATTTCAAGGTATTTTGCACCAGAGTGAGAAGCTGCTGTTTGAGAAGGGGCTTGGGATGCTGACCATTTGTGACAAATCTAGCCCAGAAGAAAAACAAAATGGTAGCGGTTCAAAACATGAATGATATTACTATGGCAACAAAATAACTCACCTTAAAATAAAATGTGCTTTGGAAAGCAACCTTACAAGCACAGGGAACAGATAAAGAGAGATCCTATATTTTTTGATATTTCTTTTTAGCTTCCTGAACTCTTGACCAGACGTTGATGCAGATAAAAAAATAATTTCAATTTTTATCAGCAATGAAATGAAGCTGAACACAAACAGATCTCCAGCACTGGTCCCCAAGGGATGTACTTCCCAAGAAACTCCATGAGGGACGTTTACAGTGTTATAAACTGGGTTAGTTTATAACATCCTGATGCCTGAACTGTCCTTCAGCTTTACGTTATGGGGGTGAGCGGGGTCCCACCTCAGCTCGGCTCCATCATGGAGCGGGGCTGGGCACAAGACCTGGGCACCGCTGAAGGAACAAAGTATTGCCCTGGTGGGATCTTCTGACAGAGCACCTCTGAGCATATTACTGTGGGATATGATTGATGGCCTGAGGTCATCACTGTACAATTAACAGGAATAGCATGTTGTTCTGGGCTGAAATAAAGCCAGAATGAGAGCAAACCCACTCACGATCTGTGCAAGCCTTTTCACTTTCCTTTTCTTCCCAGGCTGGGGTAGAAGATCCCCTTGCTTGCTGATGTGGGTGATTTCAATTCAGATGAAATTAAGGAAATTTTTTTTTATTTTTTTTTTTTACAATAAATGGACAGAAGAGTGTATCAGA